CCCTTCATTTCTCTGTGCTGTCTTTCATGTCTAATTACATGGTGAGTTCTTTGGGACAAGCACTGTTTCTTACATATATATGTACAGTGCCTAGCACTATCTAAGGTAATTATATACCCCCCGTTTCCATAATAATGAGGGCCTCACTCTTTAGTATATATATCCTCAACGTTCTGTAGTATATATATCCTCACAACGCTCTCAGAATAGGGAAGTACTTATACCCGTTTTACAGCTGGGGAACCTGAGGTTCGGATAAATAAGTGACATGCCCAAGGTCTCTCAGAAAATCTAGGGCAGAACAGAGAATTGAACCAAGTCTCCCCGAGTCCCCATTGGACCATCCTTGCAATAGGGCCCATATCTCAGTTGTAACTTCTAGGTTCTATTGTAATGTGAATAATTAATAACACCACTGTGTTTTGGGTGTTAATTGGATTCCACTGAAACCCACTTTCAATTTTAGCTAAGTTTTTTGTGCAGGAATTTCACTGTCTATTTTTAAATGAGCCCCAAAGTTTGAACTCCTTTGTGGATTTAGAAGGTGTGCAGAAGGGGAGCCCTGCTCTCACAGGAACTTTTGAGACCTACCAGATCAAGGCTCTCTTGCTGCAGAGACTAGCAAGGCCATAGGAGGGATGTGTGACCATGAGATATGTGAGAGGTGAACTGCGGGAAGAAATGGAGGGGGCAGTGGGAAGGCTTCTATCCAAATAGTGAATTTTAAGCACTTGGCCCTTTGCTGGGCCCCTCTGTCTGCCCAGGGGCCCCTGCGCGCGCACACCCTCTATGCCTCCATGGTCCTGCATCCACCTTCTGTGCCTTTTCTCCCCTGCCCTATTCCATGCTAACTCTCTTTTGTCCTCCAGAGGTCCCCGCATTCCCTGAATCACCCCTCCGTGTCTCACCATTGCCATTCCTCCTCCTCCTGCCTCCCCAGAACCCATAGGGCACTACTCCATGTGTGTACCCTCACCCCGCTCTCCAGCTCCCTCCCCTGGTTCATGTCCCTCCCATAGTATTGCCAACCCTACATGTTCAAAAACCAGAAGATTGGTTTAAATATCATGACATTTTATTTATTTTATGTATATGGTTTGTTTTCTTTGCCTTTTGGTTTCTGAGCCATTAGGGTGCACTCAAGTCACATTTTCAAGCTTTTCTCTGCAACCATGAGGGCTAGAAATTTAACTTAATTTTTAAATGAAAGCGGATATGCTCACATAATCACATGACTCTGGGAGCTGGGGCTTTAAGAAAAAAGAACCAGCTATTGTCAGACGTGTGATAAAATCATAAGAGTTGGTCACACTGCCTTCTGTATCATGTCCTTTCCCAGATTTGTGCCTCTTCACATTTCCCTTTAGTCTTCTATTCTGAAGTCCAGGCCCTAGCCCATCACCTACCCCCCACCCTGCCCCATCTGGCTCAGTCTACCAGCTGAATTCAGCTTATGTTCATAAACCTTTCTCTGAATGCACTTAACAACCCCAGCCCCAACCCTCTCAAAACCAGTAAAAGGCCCCTTGCCTCAGCAAGGCCAATGAGTATCTTGGCCAACCATTTTAGGGATATAATTTAATAATATCTAGCTCTTATAGAGTGACTTACAAAGTATCATTATCTCCATTTTACAGATGGGGAAACTGAGACATGGGAGACGAAGTGACTTGCCTGAGGTCACCCAGCAGGCCAGTGGCCGAGGCGGGAATAGAATCCAGGTCTCTTTAGTCAGTTCCATTGATCTATCTGCTGGGCCAGAATAAATAACCTCTGCTTTTCCAAGCATCAACTAAAGGCGCATTTTCAGAACACCCTCACTTTAAAAGTCCTGCTTTGATATTTACTAAACTTCCCATGAGGGGATACAGTGTGCAGAATTTCAGGAGATTCAGCTTCTTTGTAGGGTTCTTAGAGGCGGGGTGTGAGAGAGAGTGAGAGCGTCCAGGAATTTTATTATCTGATGCAGCTCCTGCGAATGTCAATGGAATGACTTCTGTTGACATTAGCGGGAACGAGATCCAGCCCACAAAGGGGAGCTAGCTTTAGTCTTAACCAGGGCCAGCTCCAGGCACCAGCGTTCCAAGCAGGTGCGTGGGGCGGCAGTCCCTCCGGCCGCGGCGGCAATTCGGCAGCAGCTTCTCTGCGCCGCCCACTGCAGTGGCAAATCGGCGGCAGCTTCTCCCCTTTGCCGTCTGCAGCGGCAGTTTTTTTCAGTGCTTGGGACGGCAAAAACTGGAGAGCCGGCCCTGGTCTTAACTGTGGACCAGCTTGCAATCCCCTTTCTCTCCCCACGCCAGCAAGCATTAAGTATTATTGTTATTGGTTCATTGCACTTGCATTCACTGGAAATGCAGCCCAAATAAAGAGACCAAGCTAATGATTCCCTAGAACAGTAGTTTTCAAGCTGTTGTCTGCAGATCCCTGGGTATCTGCAGGCTATGTCTGATTTCCAGAGGGATCCGCACCTCCATTTGAAATATTTTATGGGTCCGCAAATGAAAAAAGGTTTGAAAACCACTGCCCTCAAGCAAACCCTTCCAGCTGCTGTTGGCAGGTGATTGGTGTGAGGCATGATTAATAGGCAGCGATTTTTAAAGGGGGTACAGCTAGCAGCAGGATGCAGGAAGCTTGGGTTTTTTCGTTGCTTTACTTTTGACACTTCTGGCCTGATGAGTTAGAGCTTTTCTACTGTGGCCGTTAACTGTGGTCCCACTGCCTGGCCCATCTAGAAAACCCCAAGCAGGAAACAAAATGGAGAGCCCCCTAACTGTTTCTCTCCCCCTGCAATACCAGACAGATGTTGCATGCTGTGTGAACCTGCTGCTGCTCCCAGTGAAGTCCATGGCAAAACTCACACTGGCTTTCACGACAGTAGATCAGGTCCTCTGAGCTAGCGTTTCATGATGAGTTAGCATAGGGAGCGTGCTTCTTGTGACCATGTCTTGCACGGGTTAGTGATTGCTAAATGCTTGTTGAGAGAGAGGAGAAGGTAACCCCATACACATAGCCAAAGCCGACTGTGAATGCCCCTGAAAATGCCACCAGATGTTACCATTGGCATCCCTGCTTGCTCCAGCTCATTACAAATGCACAGCATGTGCCCTTCAGGGCTACTTCACTGTCTGCTTGACTTTTCCTGGCTCCCCCTCTCTCTCCATATAGGTCACTAGCATCAGCAACCAGTTTGGCAGCTCTCAATGGCCAGCTGAAAGCACCTCATTTGTAAAACCTGTTGCATGTTTCAAAGGATGAGAGCATTTTGTATATGCTAATCTGCAGTGAATTTGCAAAGGAATTGCACATTTCCTGCCCGAGAAAAGAAAATGTGAGTGTGTGTGTGTGAGAGAGAGAGAGAGAGCGAACAGTTAAACAGTTTTACTAAAGTTTTAGCTAATAAACTACAAGTGTTAAGTGCTACAGCATATACAGTGGCTTGCCTAGAATCTCATTCTCAATAAATTAAATATTTCTAGGGAGAGAGAAATAGAGATGTGAACCAAAACCCACCTCTGAGTTTGCTACTCACCCCGCTCTCTGTGATTGGCTGAAATTGATGCTAAATTTAATCACCTTGCACTCTGGGAAATTTTGGATTTGGATCTGGATTTTAACACTCCTACTTCAGAAGTGTCCAGGTCAGGGGTTTGTTTTGTTCATATTGCCCTCTCAGTACATAGGAGAGGGAGATGGGCCCTGAATCAAAACCATGCCACTAAACTTTGGATGTGGATTCCAACATAGTGACTTGTGCCTATCATACCTCTAATACATGTAGAACCATGGTGAGCAATAATTTTTGCAGGGGGGCCACTCCATGAATTTTGATATGTCATCACAGGCTGCATATTTCTACTATATTAATTAATGGAGGGGGTGTGGGGAGGGGAGTTTTGGTGCAGGAGGGAGCTCTGGGCTGGTGCGGAGTGTTGAGGTGCAGGTGAGGGGTGTGGGCTCTGGAAGCGAGTTTGGTGCAGGATGGGGGCTCCTGCCTGGGACAGGGGATTGGGGTGCAGGAGGGGGGTCCGGGAGGGAGTTTGGGTGCAGGAGGGAGCTCTGGGCTGGTACAGAGTGTTGAGGGTGCAGGAGAGAGTGAGGGAGTTTGGTACAGGAAGGGGTTCTGACCTGGGGCAGGGGGTTGGGGTGCGGGAGGGGGTGCGAGGTGCAGGCTCTGGCTAATAGGCACTTACCTCAGGTGGCTCCTGGCCTGCAGCGCAGCAGGGCTCAGGCAGGCTGTCTGTATGCTATGGCCCCATGCCGCTTCTGGAAGCGGCTGCTGCTGGCACGTCTCTGCGTGCCCCTTGTGGGGGAGGGGGCAGCGGGTCTCTGTGCACTGCCTGCAAGCACCACCACTGCAGCTCCCATTGGCCAGTTTTCGGCCAATGGGAGCTGTGAGGACGGTGCTGGGAGTGGGGTCAGCACTCGGAGCTGCCTTCCAGGGGTGCGCAGTGACCTGCCAGCAGCAGCCCGGCTGCTTCTGGGAGCAGCGTGGGGCCACAGCAGGTAGGCAACCTGCCTGAGTGCCCCGCTGCGCCGCGGGACTTTTAGTGGCCAGCAGATCGCGAGGGAGAAGCCAAAGAGCCTGGTGGGCTGGACAGAAATGTTAGATGGGCCAGATCCAGCCTGTGGGCCATATTTTGTCCACCCCTGATGTAGAAGGAAGGGGAGATATTCCACTGTGTGAAATATCCCTAAAATAGTTCCATTCCTAGGGTCAGATCCTGCAGTAAAGGATTTTTCAAGGAAGATTAGGGTGCACAGAATCATGCCTTTAGAGTGTAAAATAGGATATCAGTTTGGGGCACTCGGTAAGTGATCAATAATGCTGAAGTATGCAATATGTGTTTCTATCATGCGTAACTTGAGAAGGTATCGTTATTAAACAATTTGATCGTCTTTAGACCAGAAATTGTAGAGTGATCTGGCCTGTAAAATGATGTAACTGGATGTTTTAAGATAACTGCTGATTCTTTTTGTTTGATTCTACTTTTTTGTTTCAGATGAGACTCCAATTATAGCTGTAATGGTGGCCCTATCTTCCCTGCTAGTCATAGTATTTATAATTATTGTGCTGTACATGTTAAGGTAAGAAACACTTGTCACTAATGTCCCATAACAGAAGTGAGTGTTATGTTTTCAGTCTCCTTAAGCTAATTAACACACAGTATTAAGCAGATGGCTTGCAGCTATGCTATCTTGGGCCTTTTGTTCTGTTTCCTAAGCTAAGCAGGGTTGGCTTAGACAGTATTTAGAAGGGAGACCTCCAAGGGCTGTGCAGGTAGTGTGCTAGTAATTGGGTATGTGACGCTTTTCCCTCTGGATCAGTGTAAAGCAAATCCTCATCATAAAGGTAGGAGGTGCTGTGCTACTAAAGATGGATTCTTTGAGATTATAGGTCCTGACTCCTTGTGCCATTAAGTCTGTTGATACTTTTTGCAAAGGTAAGGGTGCTACAGATCAAATTCTGTTTTGGATAACGATACTCATTAACTAAAATCCCTCTGCATTTAGAGCTGGAAATTATTATTATTTTTTTTTTGTCACTTCAACCTTGATTCAAAGCCTATTGAAGCCAGTGGGAGTCTTTCTATTGACTTCAATGAGTTCTGCATCAGGCCTTGAAACAGTGGCCCCATTCTGCACTAGAGGTGAGTGCATTTAATCAGTGTGTGAAGTGGTCTCTCTGATCTGGAAAAAGGTTTGGAATCCTTCAACCTGAAAGATGCTGTAGACATGATATATTTTGATATTAGTAAGGCTTTTAACACAGTGCCACATGACATTTTCATAAGCAAATTAGGAAAATGTCAACATGAAATTACTAGGTGTACAGTTGGTTGAAAGACTGGACTCAGAGTAATTATCAGTGGTTTGCTGTCCGACTGGGAGGTCAACTTGGAGTGAGTGTTTGTTCACCTCCAGTAAACATTTTATTTAATTACCAGAATGCTTAGTTGATTTAAAAAAAAAAAAAAGCAATTTCCTTTGGTGATGGGAAAATTCCCTTCATCTCTTGGCTTGGGCCCAGTGCAGCCCCGATGGAAGTAAATGGGAGTTTTGCCTTTGATTTCAGCATGAGCATGATTTGGGCCCTGGCCACATGGAACTTCAGACAACTGTTAGCTCTTATAAAGCAATGTCAGTAGCCTCTCTCTTTCCCGCCTCTTACAGGCCTTGATTCAGCAAGTAGTCAACCCTAAGGGCATGGTTACACTGGAAACTTCAAAGCGCTCCCACAGCAGCATTTTGAAGTGCGAGTGTGGTCGCGCAAGAGGGGATTCGCTCATTAGCCCACAAGGGGATTAGCTCAGAGTGCTGGGAGCCTGTTCACACTAATGCTTAAAAGCGCTCAGACTTGCTGCACTCAGGGGGGTGATTTTTCACACCCCTGAGCTAGCAAGTTAGAGCGCTATAAAATATAAGTGTAGCCAAGCCCTAAGCCAATGGGACTTAAACATGTGCTTGAACTAAATATTTTGTTGAATAGGAATTAATTTAAGCATGTATTTAAGTGTTTTGCTGAATCAGGCCACAGAACATATACTTCTGGGGTACTCCGTTCTTAATGCCTGTCATTCTCACTCACCTCTTCATTAAGCTTCTAGAATCCTTTGAATCTCAGCTGATTGAAGATTAGATGTGTGTCTGTGTTAGGGTTTTCTATAGCTCCTATCACCATAGTATCTAAGCGCATGTGATGTTAATGAGCGTGTGATGGTGAATTCATGAAGGTTTCAGAAAGGGAAATGTTGCAGCTTCTCAGCTCTTCTCAGCACTAGGGCTTCTGGCCTCCAATGGGGTCAACAGGCATTGTCAGCTGATTTCTGCAGAAGCAAATTTGCTCAGCCATTTCCTACCAGATGCCACAAGTGTCTGCTCAACTATGGTACAGATCCCCAAGACAGCTGTTCTGAAGCTTGGTAATAACAGATGTATGCCTGAAGAGGCCACACTGTGAATATGGAGGTCACTCTGTGAATGGGAACAGAGCCCTGCTTCTGGGTTGTGCTGTTAATGACTAGATATGTGAACTAGTGGTCTGAGCACCAAATCGGGAGCCAGGAACTCCCCAGTGTTAATCTTAGTTCTGCCACTGACACACTCTCTGACCTTGGCCTCTCTTTCCTTGTGTGTAAAATAAGGAAAATCCTACTTCCTACAGTGCATGGGGACAGTGAATCTTACATCCAAATTCTATCCTAAGTTACAACCTGTATGACCTCAATAAATTCCTTCAAAGATGTAAAATACTCAGGACTGGATGAGAGGTAGTATTGTTATTTATAAGATACCTCAAAATAACTGTGACTCCAAGATTAAAAGCTGTTGAGCAGCAAGGGGGAGAAGAAACACATAGTGAAACTTGGGCATATTTCTCACCCAAATAAATCAATCTTAGCTGATCTCCTTGGATGGGCAGCTTCTGATTTTCTGAACTCTCTCCTTCGTTAGGTTTAAGAAATACAAGCAAGCTGGGAGCCATTCCAACTCATTTCGCTTGTCCAATGGTCGAACAGATGACACAGGTGAATCTTTGCCTTCCATTCTCTATGATCCCCCACCCCTGCCCATCCCAGAGAGAATTTGAATTTTGTCTTCCTCTAGGGACTAGTTCATATAACGGGTTAATGAGTTTGCTTCAGCTGCTCAGTTGGTGACATTTTCCATAAGCTCAAGCAGTAGGGACTCGGGCTGTTACAACTGAAAGTCCTGAGTTCAAATTTTGCTGGGTTGGTTATAAAAGACTCAAGGAGCTCATTTGTTAGCTTAACACAGAGAAGGTTGAGAAATGACTTGATCAATCTACAGGTATCTACATGGGGAGCAGAAACTTGATAATAGAATGCTTGCCAATCTAGCAAACAAAAGTATAACAAGAAACACTGCCTGGAAGTTGAAGCTAGACACATTCAGACTTAGAAATAGGCTGCAAACATTTAACAGTGAGAGTAATTAACTATTGGAACAACCTATCAAGGGTTGTGGTGGATTCTCTGTCACTAGCCATTTTTAAATCAGGGTGAAATGTTTTTCTAAAAGAACTTGCTCTAGTTCAAACAGGAATTAATTCAGGGAAGTTCTCTGGCCTGTGTTATACAGTAGGTCAAACTAGATGATCACAGTGGTCTCTTCTGGGTTTATAATCTATATATAATGGTACTAAGTGTAGCACCTCTTGCAGTTTTCATTAAACTGGTACAGCTGTCCCGCAGTTTTTGGAGTAAATTACTTTGTCCCCTTTTCTACTGGGATGAAAAAAAATGTTGGTTTCCATGTATTGTAGAGATGAATTTGTTTATAAAATATAGCTATACTTCCACTATTCCTCATTGTGCTTGGCTGCAGCTAAACCGAGCTTAGCTGGTTAGCTATTGCATGGGAATCCTCCAAAGAAAAGCTAAATATTTCTTCCTTCTGAGCCATCCCTGCACCAAATACCCCTGGAAGGCTGTTTGGCTCAAGGTGTCGCATTGCCTGCTAGAGCCTGTGGGTTAGTTGACTACATCTCCATATGAAGAATCAATGGCAGAAGTCAGTTCATTTTATGGTAGTTAGGTGCAGTCTTCAGGCTCCTGGGAAGTTGTCTATGCTGCCCTCAGTTGGGTAAAAGTTTGGGCACTGAAAAATATGCGTGCGCACATTTTCACAGAATTTTTTTTTTTTTTTAAATTTTGATCAGCTCTGAGATGGTTTCATTCTGCTTGTTTGCAAAATTGAAATGGTTGATTTTCCAAAGTTTTGCATGGAATCGTTTACCTAAGATGACATTTCTCGTTTTGAAATAAACTGAACGTTTTAAAAAAAAATTTAAAAAACCACAACTCTCTGCCTAAACCAACTGATCAAAATTACCAGTAACTCTCCCCTAAATGAGAACAAAACCCAAAGTGAGAAAATTGAAATCCCGAAGATGTCAAGAAAATCAAAATATTTTCATGTTTTTTTTTTAAAAAAGGCTCTTTTGCACTAATCTTTTTTTATTTGAAATAATTTCAAGCAGCTCTACACACTTTGCAGGTTTGATACTGCAAAGACTGATGCTCGAGCTTATCTTTACACACTGTGAATAGTCTTATTGACTGACTTCAATGTGACTACTCAGTGCATAAAGGTAAGCCTGCGGTCTCCGAGGTACTGCTGCAGCACAAAGAACAATAATAATTGTCTACGTCTTTTCAGGTTTAGGACAAAAGTGATATCTGGCATCACCTTACATAGGAGCTGAGTGTGAGAATATAGGCTATCCTGAGTTAGAAAGGACACCCTCATTTCTCAAACATCAGTTTGAGAAGTAATTTTGTGGCAAGCTGCAATGGGGGGGGAAATTGATCTTATCCGCCTTTTCACTTGTTTATGATGTATGGAAGGCCTGAAAGGGTGGTGGCGGCGGTGTCACGGTTACAGTAGAGTCTGGAGGCCCCCGCCCAAGATCTGGATCCCGTTGGACGAGACACTGTACAAACCCAAGACTCTGAGGTGACTGGAGAAATAGTGACATTATGGCACCACAAATATCAATAGGCAGAAAGCTAGACAACTGAGGGGGGAAGAGATTTACAGGCAGTACAGTGATTTTTTTTCTCTCATGAAATATTTTCCTGAAAAGCAATTTTTTTCTATTTTCAATTTAAAACTTTCTTTTAATTTTTTAGGTTTTCATTAAACAAAAAAAGGGGGTGTGTTTTGTTTTGTTTTTTTTTGACAAAATCAAACTTGTTTTGCAAAAATTTCCATTTAGTTGAAAAGGGGTTTTCCCTTGAAAAAAACATTCCAGTGGAAAATGTATGACCACCTATAATAATCAGACAGTTGAAAATTCCTCTTCAGTTTTGTTAATACCTGTTTAAGTCCTGTGACCAACATTTTGGAGAAAAGACATCTTTGTTAAAGTTCCAACAGCCCCTACTGCTTCAATTCAAGGATAAGAGCTGGATAAACCTCTGAGAGACCTTTCAGGAGGTCATCCAGCAAAACCGGGGAGACCAGCGTAGATGTTTCTGATATTTCTAATCTAAAAAAAATTCAGAAAAAACACACCCTGTTTTATTTTTAAAAATCTTCAACGCTTATTTTTTTCCATCCTAAGGTGTCAAAAAAAGGTTACAAGCCCAATTTTAAAAGTCCATTGCAAGTCCCTTTTAAGGCACATGACTGAGAGTCATGACACCTGGCTTCCCTTCCTTTCTCTGCGGTTGACTTGCTTTGTGACTTTGGGCCAAAAGTTACACAGTTGGGTGCCTGAAGTGGTCACCTAAATAAGAGCTGTAATGTGTGCTCTGCGCCTCCGACTTCTGTTTAGGTCCTTGAACTTAAGCGCATCTGCATGGTATCAGAATACCTTTCAGTAGCACATTAAGCCTAAAAATCAGCCTCTGTTTATTTTAATGCTTAAGGTCTCGGCTGTATAAGAAACTTATACTGGTATAAACTAAGTTGTGAATTTAAATTGCTATGCTTACACAGATATAACCCCCATGTGGCCACTCCTACTCTGATGTGAGGGCCTTTTTTTGGCTTAGCTAATGTTGCTTGGAAAACAGTTTCTGCATAACCAAAAAAAGCTACTCTTCTACCAGAGTGCGTGTTTCCATGTGGGAGAGTTGTAAAAGTAGAGTCTATAGTATGACTCATAAAACTTTCCTGCACAGACAAGACCATAGTATGAGTGACTTAACTTCAGGTATCCAGGGTCGAAAATTTAGCCTTGATTGTACTCTGTTGTAGTTCTTTAAAATGGGAACAATAATACCCACCCCACAGGGATGTTGAAAGAGTTACTTGGTTAATGTTTGCAAAGCATTGACATCCTTGCATGGCCGATCCTGTAGAAGGAGCAAAGGATAACTGTCATTCTGTCAGAGATGCAAAGTTGTCCTGAAAATTTATCAGACATAATACAGGAGTTCCCTTCGCTCAGCTTTGCCAGGACGATGCCAGTGGAGAAATGAACACAGTTGTAATAGCGTGTGTGATATTGCAGAGCCTCAGAGCATGCCACTGCTTGCCCGATCTCCCAGCACCAACAGGAAGTACCCGCCACTACCTGTGGATAAATTGGAAGAGGAGATTAACCGACGAATGGCAGACGACAATAAGCTCTTCCGGGAAGAATTCAACGTGAGTGCTTTGTTAATCCCTCTCTTCTGAACGCTGTTCAGTCATGCCAGGGGATTGCACTGGCTTGAACAATGAAAGGGGTGTTTTGTTTTCCTGGTAGAAGTACTTACTGTAGCAGATTGAGCCAAACCAGTCCAGACTGCCATTCACCTCTTAAGCTAATCAAGACAGTTTCTCTGTAGCTCTGCAAAGCAAGCAATGTTAGATGTGGTTACAATATTGTAACCAATCTGCTGCCCGTTAGGAACTTCACAGTTGTTGCTATGCTGCATGCCAAGGCCACCCAGAACTTCACAGTTACAAGGATAGAATTCTCATCCTCCTGTCTCCTTAGCACAGGCCCCAACTGCTTGAGCTGAAAGGGTAGCTGTTGGAGGTATAGGGCCTATGACCTACAGTGGGGCAGTCTGATCTTATCCAGCGGGCGGCAGTGGTGCACAGACACACCAACCAGTTTTTTAAGGAACAAGTAGGTTGATACATTTCTGGCTGGGCAACATGGGTCAGAAATAGTGAAGAGGGTGTCCCTCCCTTGAAAGAGTACCCTGTTTATGTGGCTGTCGTTCACCCGCCCAGCTGCTCTGGATCAACAGGGCTGCCAGCTTTCCCCAACTTGACCTGCTGCTTGAGCCCCTTCCAGATTCCTTCACTCCCTCTTCCCTTGCATCTTCCTGTTTACTTTGTTAAAATAAGTCCCTGCATTATTTATTTAAACCCAGGACTTGACAATAATTGTATTTCCATTGGGGGTTCCTCCTTCTCTGTACCATTTGCAGCACTGTTCAGCGTTAGCCATGATGGGATGATTACATGAATGAAGAAGTGTAATTGTGCTGATAAGACAAGATAATGAATAGGTCTCTGTTTCCAGTAATAGGAGTCCAGCTTCAGAAGAGCTGGCCCTGGAGCATCACAAGTGGGATTCCATATTATCTGGGCCTGTAAAGAACTAACAGAAAGCAAGCCATGTCTAGTGATTAGACCGTGGGACTGAGAGTGAGCAGATGTGGAGTCTATTCCCAACTCTGCCCCCTAACTCTGAGTGACCTTGGACAAGTCCCTTCAGCCTTCTGTGTTTCTGTGTATCCACCTGCAAAGCAGAGATAAGAACACCCACTGTATTCCACAGAAGTGGATGAGACTTAATTCACTGTTGTTTAGAAAATATTTAGAGACTGACTGCCAGAAACTGGGACTGGGCGACAGTAGATGGATCGCTCGATAATTGTCCTGCTTTGTTCATTCCCTCTGAAGCATCTGGCACTGGCCACTGTCGGAAGACAGGACACTGGGCTAGATGGACCCAGTGTGGTCAGTCTTATGTTCTTAATCTCAAACAGAAGGTGCTATAGACAAGACCCTGTGTATGCTGTGGTTCCATCACTGTGGAACTGGGCTCTAAAATCTAAGCTTAGTTTTTCTAGTCTTTATGGCTGCAAAGAGAACTTTAAAAACATGACATGGATGTTAAAACAGTGCAGTGTTGCCCTCCAGAGTCTACAGACTGCCAAAAACAGGAGCTGTAAGTGAGAGAGAAACTATCCTAATTATTTCAATGTAGTGTTAACTCAGAAACCTAATGGTGACAATTGAAAGATCAGCACTGCTGCCACTTTCGTCACCAGTCATTTCTGCTGACATATCCAGGTATTGGGCTTCTCACAATCCCAAATTGTCTCCCATGCCTCCCAAAGTGCCTGCACTTAGCTGTCCCATGTGCAGTGGCAAAACCTATAGCTTTCCGTGACAACACCACTGATGCAGTTAAACCTTGCAAATAGAAAAATCTGTGGCATGCTGAAAATTAATAATGTAGGGGGCAAAGAAAAATAACTGAATTAAGTATAAAAATAAATTGCTTAGGAGCTGCTGTATTGCATGGATTCTCCATTGTCATGATTAATAAAGAAAATCTTCGAGAACTGCTACAAGATTTTCAACACTGAGTTGCAGAATTTCGGTCCAGTTTTCCCCAGGATACACAGGCCTGTAGAATTACAATACCTTACTGTTAGACAAACCCACCAAAATGCCTTGTGCCCTAGCCAAAAATTTCCCCTCTCCCAGCTGCTGTTGGGCCAGTTGGTTGCTGCCTTGCACCACAGAAGTGGCTGCATTTCAGTAATTGGGTATTAGTGTAGTCAGTAAACTTCTTTGGGATCATTTCTGATGAAATGTGAATTGCATCCTGGACTTCTATCCCTAAAGCACAGGCCTCTATCTCTTGAGCTAAAGGAATAACTCTTTAGTTGGTAGCAGCAGTGGGTTCTTATCCTCTTGTGTGGATAGCCAGTAGAGGAAGACACTGAGCTAGTGGGCCACATAAGATCACCAATGCTGAGAAACCCAACTCTTCCTCCCCTCAATCTTAGATACCTGCTACTTCCCCCAGTTGTGGACGAAATCACATTGTGATCATATCTGATCTGTGATTGAAAGTTGTCACCCTCTGCTGCCTATTTGGTGACTTGCATGGAACAACTCGGTAGGTCTCAGCTGGTCTGCATCACAGCAGTAGCACATTTAGCTCCAACTGGCCATCTTGCCAGAGAGGCCCAGGACTGCATGGGCTGTGGAGAATGAATCCCCTGTGACACCTGGGAAGGGGTCTATCCAGGTCAGGGTTGGAGTGAATTGGCAGGGCAGCGTGGGGAAAGCTTGCTCAGTTGCTGTTTGTGCTCTATGGAGAGATGACGTTACTTTCCAGGCTGCTATCTTTGAATCAATATTCAATTCACTTGACTATTTTTTAAAGAAGAAAAGTCCATAGCCCCTGTGCCCAGTATTGGCTCATGGCACCATAGAATGTTCCACCTGTCTGATGTGGGGTGGGGGTGACTAATGGGATATGGGGTGACCAGCCAGCTCCAAACCCTAATTCAGTCTGATGTATCACTGGTGGCATTTGGGATCTGTCAACCTGAGATAATGAAAAGAGCCGAGCTGCACTTACCCTGTCTCGGATGTGCTGATGGGATGGTCTGGTTTGTGTTGGAGGAGGATTTGCTGCCACCTTGTGTTTCTGGATAATATAGCACCTTATTTCATGTTAGGTCGGGGTGGCCAGTCTGTGGCTCCGGAGCCACATGCGGCTCTTCAGACGTTAATATGCAGCTCCTTATCTAGGCACCGACTCTGGGGCTGGAGCTACAGGCGCCAACTTTCCAATGTGCCGGGGGGTGCTCACTGCTCAACTCCTGGTTCTGCCACAGGCCCTGCCCCCACTCCACCCCTTCCCGTCCCCTCCCCTGAGCCTGCCGTGCCCTCGCTCCTCCCCACCAGAGCCTCCTGCACACCACAAAACAGTCGATTGGGAGGTGCTGAGAGGGAGGGGGAGGTGCTGCAGCAGGGCTGCTGGTGGGTGGGAGGTGCCAGGAGCAGGGAGGGGGGCTGATGCGGGGAGCTGCTGACATATTACTGTGGCTCTTTGGCAATGTACATTGGTAAATTCTAGCTCCTTCTGAGGCTAAGGTTGGCCACCCCTGTGTTAAGTGAAGATTTTCTCCCTGCAAGGAGGCCTGAGCTTGTGTAAACAGTTATCTGAGCCTCTATTCCATCACCTTCCCCTCCATCTAGACAGGCTCATTTTTCATTAACCATTTTCCATCTTGAGATGTTTGTGTTCAGAAATGAATTGCTTCTGTGAATGGTGCTAGCAGAGACATTCTTGCTACTGCAGCATGGCAGGACAGCGAGTATCTACAGATCCTAAAGCACTTCACAAAATGGACTCAGCATTATTGGAACTATGAAACCCTAATAGCTCATTTGTGCCTCTAGCTTTGGGAGAAGGGATGGGGAGATGGTGGAGGATTGTGAGCCTGAAGTGTAAGGGGGCTTCCACTTGCCATCCTTTCTAAGGGCCTCCCACTGTACCTATGTAAGAGCTCAACAGAGCAGAGTTGCACTAAGCTGAGCCCTGGCTGTTTCCCATGATCCCTTTGCTGTTACAGGAGCATGTGCTGCCCCTTTGCTCTATGTACCCCCTCCCACTCTTCTCCTGATCTAGCCTGCTTCTCTGAAGGGCACAGGAAGGTGAGCCTTGAGCATTTCACATTGACTTGGAGAGGAGGGAGGGAGGGAGCAGAGTTTGCCTAGAAGTTAGAGCAGGGGTCTGGGAGCCAGGACTCCTGGGTCCTATTCCTAGCTCTTCCAGTTGTCATTTGTGTCTTTTCCATTGTGTCATCTTAGGTGAATCATGTAACCTCTATGCCTCATTTTCCCCCAAATGAGAGGCTACTGACTTACCACCTTTGAGATCTTGGATGAAAGACCCTCAAGATACAGCAGGGTTCATCACTGTATAGAATTGCTGATTGGTTTGTGTTTACTACAATGACATGCTCTTCCCCAACCCTGCGTACAGTGGAAGTATAACAGGAAATCTCATTTCTCCTGCCCTTACAGGCTCTGCCAGCATGCCCCATCCAGGCCACATGCGAAGCTGCCTCCAAGGAGGAAAACAAAGAGAAGAACAGATATGTGAACATTTTGCCCTGTATGTATTTGCTCCCAGTGTGGCTTCATTGAGGCTTGTGTGGGTGGTAGCCAAATGCGGCTGACACTGCTGCTGTTGACCTTTTTCTCCATTCTGTATGGCTGTGGTGGACGGAAGTGGGGCGCGTAACAGGCCTGCTGAGCAGCGATTGCTAACTAACAGGAAACCACATACAAGGTGTTGAGTTAAAGCAACAGGAGAGGTGAGGTTGGTTCCCACCACTGTGCAGGCTGCTTCATCCGATCTAGGTCCAGTTAACACATAGTAGAAAGAGCTCCCTGCAGCTGTAGCCCAAGCCGGAAAGACTCAGGCCAGTTTCTATTGGACAGGTGTCCATGCTGTTGTAAAGCCCCTAGTGACAGATAGAATGGGTCTTGGAGAGTGAACTCCCCTCTCTCTCCTAGAGCTTGTCTAGACTAGGATTTAAAGTGTGGTGTTTGCACTTCTTAGCTAACACACGCTAGCTAACACATTTGAAAAGTCTAGTGTAGACCAGGCCAACTGCCTTTTAACACATGCTAAACTGCTCAATTTATAGTCTGGAAGGATGCAGGTGTACACCATAGGCAATAGCTAGAGCACAGGTCATGGTGGGAGGCTGAGGAAGATACAAAATTAAACTGGACAGGAGGCCAAGAACTCTCAATTGCCTGAATGTAACTGAAGAGAGACAATGTATTTGCATGGTTGAGGGTTGGATGAGCACTGGGCATGGAACCCTCTTGAATTTATACGCTCTGCAGAATTTATCACATCTCTAGGCTTAAGTACATGATGATTTCAGTGCATAAAGCTTTCAACAAATGTAGTGAAGTGAAACCTTGGGAACCTATCCAGCCAAAGGCTTCCTCTACCTGAAGCACCAATTAGATAATCAGCTTCCCCTGGATATAGAAGTTCATTAACATCTATTTAGTTTTTAATGCATAGTTTTGATTTTTCTCTAGATGATCATTCCAGGGTTCATCTGACTCCCATCGAAGGTGTCCCGGATTCTGATTACATTAACGCCTCCTTCATTAATGTAAGTTCTGGCATGGACTTTGTTACTGATTGGTTTGAAGGGTACCTGGTCCTGTGATGGCCTGTTTCACTTGGAGTGAGGCTAGCCATTAGGCATGTGCCTTACGTGGAGTGTGGTTATAGTCGGGAAAGGGACTGCTAAGAAATGGCCCCTTGGTACTGCCTCTCTCTCTTCCTCTCTGACTCATGTCTGCTTAGTTCACTGGCCAAGCGTTGTGATGGTGTTGTCAGTGCTGTAGCGTCCATACAGCTATGGGAGAGGGAGCTGTGTTCTGTTCTGCCTCATACATCCACAAAGGGAATGTGGTCTTAGAGCAAGGGGCTGAGAGCCAACACCGCTGTTCCTTGCTCTGCTGCTAATCTGCTGTGTGACCTTGGTCACGTCTCTCTGTGCCTTTGTTTCCCCATCGATAACACCTAACTCACTGCGATGTTGTGGAGCTTAGCTTTAATGTTTGGAAAGGGCTTTGTAGTCATCCCTGGTTGAAAGACAAATTTTAAGTGAAGGTGATCAACCATTGGAACAAACTCCCCGGGGAAGTGGTGGATTCTCCATCTTTTGATGTCTTCAAATCAAGACTGTATGCCTTTCTGAAAGACACGATTTAGTCAAGCAACCAATTACTGGGCTCAGTGCAGAGGTAAATGAGTGAAGTTCTCTGGCCTGTGTTATTCAGGAAGTCAGACTAGATGATCTCATGGTCTCATCTGGCATTTAAAATCTATAAATTACTGAGGACCCAGTCGTGCAATCCCTCCATGTTCAGAGCTCCCTTTGTAGCCAGGGGAAGCCATGCAGCCAAAGGGCTTGCCGGATCGGGAACAAAGTGCATGAAAAACCAACCAGCTGGCCAGCTAAATTCTGCTTACAGCACCTTTGGGCCTGCTCTGCTCCCATTAGAGTCAATGGAAGTTTTGCTGTTGACTCAGATGGGATAAGGAGATCATGGCTTTTGCTAGTGAAACATGGTGATGTGGGTAGAAAAAACATAGCTTGATTTTCAGATGTCAGGTTGAGTTTGCAGCCCCATTTCCTTAACATATATGTTCTGATGCATGAAATGCTTCCCTTTCTGTGACAGGTCATTGAGTGAGCAGTTAATCCAGAGTCCTGTCTATCGAGTTACTCCCAGAGCTCAGTTTCCCTTTAAATAAACAATAAAGCATAATCATTGCACAAATGAGTGTTACTAGAGAGAAGAGGGATGATCTTGTGGGTAGGACACTGGCCTGGGACTCAGGAGATTTGGGTTCAATTGCTCTCTCTGCCACTGACTTCCTATGTGACCTTGAGCAAGTCATTTAATATGTGCCTCAGTTTCCCATCTGTATAATGGAAATAACAATACTTTATTTTCTCCCACTGTTTGTGTGTCTAGATGGTAGATTTTTCAGGGAAGCGACTGTTTTACAATGTAAATGTACAGCACCTAGCCCAACAGAGCCCCAAATCATTTGGGACCTATTGGTGCTAACGTAATGCAGATAATTAATAGTAGCAATAATAACTACTAAGAGGAGCAATATGTACTCCACGTATTTTAAATGGAGTATTAATGCACCAAAAGAAAAGCAAGGCGATGCAGGAATGGTTTTCAAAACATGAAATCCATTTTATTCTCTCCAAAATACAAATTGGCATCAACAAGAAAAGCAAAGAACCCTTTAAACACTCTAGCCAGGAGCCTGTAGGGTATCTGCTGACTTGTATGGGCGCTGAGTGGTGCTCAGACTGTGGTATCTGAGCTCAGCTCTGAGGTTATCACATATCACTATGCCTGTGCTTTGGGGGAAATTACTTATTTCAGGCCATTTGATGGGCAAATTCAATGACTTCCCGGATCATACAAGGCCAGACTGTGCTTCCTTCAGGGAGGGGATCCTCTGGTCATGGTCCTTGCCTGGCTCGGGCACCATTTCTCCAACCAGAGCCTGCTGGGCCCATGCTGATGGGTTTGGGAATTGGACTGGTTGTTGGAAGAGTGGGCAGGTCAGCAATGGAGTAAGTGAATGTCAGCTCAGTTTATTAACCACTTGGTAACATGTCATGATTCTTGGTCTCCCGTACACTCTGCTGTACTGCATTCTTAGCACGTCTGCTTATGCATGGGGTCAGGGATTCCAAAAGCCTTTCTCTGCACTTTCTGCTAGAAGCACACCCAGCAACAGGCTGCTATAACAGAGCACTTCCAGCTGCTGACCCATTCCACGTATAAAGCCTAGCACCATCTACTGGTGGAATAATATATAATGTTTGTAATACCACTTGTCATCCCAAAGGATTCCCAGTTTAGTTTGCAATTTTAGGAGAGATTAGGTTAGGGGAGAGAGAGTTTGTAAAATGCTATAGGATCCTTCAAGATGAAAGTTTTTGCATTATAAATATGGATCACTTCACCCACCATGGGACTGTAGCCATCTCTGGGGTGCAACACATTAACTGCTTTTTAACAGCTTACAGCTGGATGAGAAGAAAATGAAGAGCACCGTATGCAACTGAAACTGCATTGTGATTGCTGCTAATGGGGAAAGATTTTCTTCAACTCTGAGAGCTAGGATAAACAGGTCACTCTGCAGCACTAATACAAGGGTCAGCAGAGTTGAGAGCGCGATGCTGTGTGCTCTCAAAATGCACAGTGAAGGGCATCCTTGTATGTTTGCTGATGTGAACACAGGGCACAGTGCTAGAGGGAGGCTGAGATGCACCCAGCTTTGTCTTGGAGGAGGGCTGTTCTTTCATTGTGATGTTCCTTTCTCGTTTTGTGTCTCTGCAGGGGTACCAAGAAAAAAACAAGTTTATTGCTGCACAAGGTAAAATCTCTAGTTACTGTGTCAAGACAGCATCAAGCTGATGGGGTAATTCTTCCCTGATCTATGAAATTGTGAAATTTTACCTGTGGCTCAACAGCCCTGGATCCATCATCTTGGTCAAAATCCAGGGAGTCTGAGATGGAAATGTAGGAAATGCTATAGTATGGACAGATTGTAAGCCCATGTACAAGTTCAGTGCTGGATGTGTCAAAGGAAGGTATTGAACTCCAGGAACCTATCTCTGCAGTACTGGATCTTAGGGAGGAAGTCAAGAAAGTCCCTTCTTGACCTCAGCTGGTGGTCACCTTGTGCCCTGAAGTATGAGGATCATGGGTACTGTGACAAAGTTCCTCCTCCACCTTTGTGGGTCTTGCACTTATTGGCAGATTTGCTCGCCTTGGAGATTCATGGCAGCCCTCAATTTGGCCGTTTTCGTGAACCCACAGCTCAGCTCCTCCGGTATCAAGTAGGGAGTTGTGGGGGATGGAGGGATTGGGGGAACCCGGGCCTGCCCTCTACTCCGGTTTCCAGCCTAGGGCCCTGTGGATTGCAGCTGTCTACAGTGGCTCCTGTAACAACTGCGTGACAGCTACAACTCCCTGGGCTACTTCCCCATGGCCTCCTCCCAACACCTTCTTTATTCTCACCACAGGACCTCCCTCCTGGTGACTGATAATGCTTGTACTTCTCAGTCTTCCAGTAGTACGCCTTCTCGCTCCCAGCTCCTTGCATGCACATCACAAACTGAAGTGAGCTCCTTTTTAAACCCAGGTACCCTGATTAGTCTGCCTTAATTGATTCTAGCAGCTTCTTGATTGGCTGCAGGTGTTCTAATCAGCCTGTCTGCCTTAATTGTTTCCAGAAAGTTTCTAATTGTTCTAGAACCTTCCCTGTCACTTTACCCAGGGAAAAGGGACCTACTTAACCTGGGGCTAATATAGCTGCCTTCTATCACTCTCCTGTAGCCATCTGGCCTGACCCTGTCACAGTACTTACAATCCCATGTCCCTGCTAGTGTAACTGCCTGGCTGTTGTGATTCATATAGGCCTGTAACCCTTTCTGGTGTAAACTGTTGGAATCTCAGTTAAATCTCATAATAAAAACACAGGAATCCTCTGATGTGAAGACAGTTTCAGGCTTATTTGGTCTAATCTCCACTCCTTTTGTACATCAGTAGACAATAGTGTATCAACAGAGAAAAACTTAGTTGCAACATTCACTATGGCGAGACTTTTCCTTCATGACAGGGGGAGGAGTGCTGGAGACTAACAGGTGGGCTAGTTTCTCAAATCTTGCCAAACCCTGCTGGTCTTCCACCCCCACAAGCCACTCTAGAGCGGGGTTGTGCACCATCTGTACCTCCTTGGCACTGGTGGATTTGCAGCATTGTATGTGGTACTAACCACTTTGCTGCGTGCCCAGCAGACTGTGGCCCTAAAGCCATGGGAGGATCATGCCAGTAAAGGAGGCAGCTCTGGTGGTGTAGTGTGTGTCGCAGCTCCTACCCTACCCATCGCCCTTTATCCCTGCTACTGGCATAAGGGGCTTCCTTACAAGCTGCTGATCACCACTTGCTGTAACAACCCCATGGGCCGGTGGCAACTGTTGTAACTTGGAGCAGTCTTACAGCTAAGTAATGTTAGAGGATGGGCCTGCCATTCAGCCAGCCCAGCATAAGAGATGGCAAAGCCTGTGCTGTGTGTTGCCCAGCCATAGCCTGGAGTTTGGGTCATGATGTTTAGGTACAGTTCAGCAGCTTGTCTGGTGGGCAGTCAGTAATGACTCTTATGAGAGAGCCCTGCAAATCTGCACATATCCGCTTTATAGCCGCAGATATCCACATCCGTGGACCATTTTTGCAGATCGGATGCAGATATAAATTTTGTATTGGCGCAGGGCTCTACTAATGAGGATCAAATTTAGGGAAGATCTTGCAGTTAAAGCACAGGACTGGTGATCAGGATTCCTAGGTTTTGTTTCTGGCTCTGCCACAGATTCCCTTTGTGACCTTGGGCAAGTCATTTCATTGATCTGTGCCTCAGTTTCCCCCTCACATTTATCTTAGCTTGCATTGCTACAAATGTAATTACTGGTCATAAAATGTATCCAATCCCTTTTAAAAATACAGCAATATATTAGAGGAATTTGAATGCCCTTTGCTGCCACTTAGTGGGAAAAAGTGGAAAACCTATTACATTGCTGCACAGTCATTACCAACTCTGTATGTGCCTCTCCCTGTTGGTTTTTACTAGGAGAAAATCTGGCACTGGCTGGATGACGTTCCCTTCCAGTGCGTAATACCTATGTTTGGTCTTTGTCTTTTTAGGACCAAAAGAAGAAACAGTGAATGATTTCTGGAGAATGATTTGGGAGCAGAACACAGCAACAATAGTCATGGTGACTAACCTGAAAGAGAGAAAAGAGGTGAATGTCAGGGAATACTACTCACATGGACACATTTACCCTGCTGTGATGGTGAATGGAGGCCTGGGGAATTCCTGGGCTTGCCACACCCTGGACAAGCACATGAAAACTGGGCAGCTAGGCAAGCGGTTACTTCACTTGTAGGTGCCCATGGAAACAAAGCCACTAGAAGGGCTGTCTGTGAGATTGAACATGGGACTTCTGGATCTAAAAGCATAAGCCTCTACTGCTTGCACTAAAAGACCCCATCCATTAGCCTGCAGACAGTAGTAAACTTTTACACTTATATATATGACCCAGCCACTAGAGAGGGACAAAGAGTTGCACATTAGCTTGGGTTATCCATGTGTTGGGGTCTGCAAGTATAACTCATACATGAGATTCTGCAGATTTCCCCATAGCTCCCCTGCCCTTAACAGATGTGACAAACATGCACTCCACACACAAGGAAGCAAACAGTCAGGGCCTTCTCTGCTCCCATTGAAGCTGTTGGCCAAACTTCCCTTGTCTTCAACAGGAACAGGATAGGGGACCAGATCTTCAGCTGGTGTAAAACAGTATAACTCCATTGACTTCATTAGAGCCAATTTACACCAGCTAAGGATCTGATCCAGTGTGTTTATTTTTGTTACAATTCAGCTGTAAACTCATAGGGTCCAGTTGCACACTGTGTTATTGCAGTGTCACTGCTGGGCTCCCTGGGGAATTGGTCTAATCCAAGATGGCAATTCCCAGGTATTTTTACTAGGCTCATCCTTGGGTCTCTAGACACTGGGCTTTCATAGATTCCAAGACCAGAAGGGACCACTATGATCCTCTAGTCTGACCTCTTGTATAACAGAGGCCAGAGAACTTCCCTGAAATAATTCCTTGCCTTGCTTTTGTGTCATTTCTCTCCAGTGCAAATGTGCTCAATACTGGCCAGATCAGGGCTGCTGGACTTATGGAAACATCCGGGTGTCTGTGGAGGATGTGACTGTCTTGGTTGACTACACAGTGCGAAAGTTCTGCATTCAACAGGTACCATGGTTCACTTCCTCCCCTTCGCTTCCCCACTACCCTCACTGCTTTCCATCACAGAAAGCAGGAAAGAATTAAGGTGCTCCTGCCTGTAGCGAGGATTGTCTGACTCACTACAAAGCCCCAAACTTTCACAATGTCCCCTAGGGACATGTTCTCGCTCAGGATCGGCAGGTTGGGACGCTTTGTGTGCCTCTTTGAAGGACATGGTCATGGTAAAAATTATACACTTCCTGTGTTATTAATTGTGCCCTGAGTTTTGAGAGTGACATAACTAGAGTCCTCACTCCGTTTTCACCATAGCTTTTTGCACTTAACTCAGCTTAGTTATTTAAGGCCACCTCCTCAGCTGGTGTAAATCTGCATCACTCTGTTGGAGCCATTGGAGATATACAGATTTACACCAGCTGAGGATCTGAGGATGGGCCAGTGTTGCTCTTGTGCATGCAGTTTCCCAGTGTGTACACACTGCTACAGTCATGCACTTGTTTGTGTATTTTTGCACCTAGGCCCTCACTCTCTTGTTACGGAGCATGTAACTATGTGCGCTTAGCAAAATGTCAGACATCTCAGGAGCTGAGATGGAATCCAAAGCTGCAGTTATTTTTTCCCTCTATTTTTATGGCCTCACTTACTATAGAATCTGAACACCTCATGATCATTAATGGAGTTTATGTTCACAATCCCCCAGTGGGGCAGGGCAGTGCTATTATGGGGCACTGAGGCACAGAAAGTAAGTAACTTGTCCAGTGTCACACAAGCAGTCTGTGGCAGAGCTGGGAATTGATCTTGGATCTCCTGAGTCCCAGTCCAGTGCACTGACCACAGGCTCATCCTTTCTGTGCTTGGCGCCTCTCTACCCTTTATACAGTTAGGACAGATGTTAACAGGAGAGCGGTGTGAAACATTTACAGTGGAATTGGAACAGTGAAAATGTGCCCCATTATGAATCTTAAGTCCTGCTAAGTGAGCCACTCTGGAGAATACTGGGTCACTCTGTGCCTTCAGGTTGTGTAGGAGTGAAACGCAGCACCTTTGACCTGGTTTGATTCAGCTTGAAACACAAAGTGAAATTCCTGGGGTGGTAGCCAAGCAGTCAGCAGGATTCCTGACCACCCCAGATGTTGTGCTCTGCGTTTGAAGTCTCCATTGGCACCACCTTATTGAGAATGCACTACAGGAAAACTGCAGGCTCCAAAACGCCTTAGAGGAATTGTGGGGCCCATCTAGTTTCTGCCCCCTTCCTCAGTAAACACCAGGAGAGACAGCCTCAGCTAGAAGAGATTGGCCTACCTCCACTGACTTCAGTGCAGCTGAGACTCTGGTCCTAGGATTTTAGAAACACTGAGATATAAGCTGAGCAGTTCCTTGAGATTTCATAGCCTTGGAGTTTGGGGCATTAGTAGGGTGCAACACTTGATTTTCAGCCATCAGGCCTTTAGAACCAACCCTGAATCCCAAAACCAGTTCCAACCCCACTGAACTTTAGGGTTGCCTGAACCCTGGACTGGAAGCTCCTCTCTGCTCTCGGTCCCTGGGGGGAAGGTAATGAAGCTGAGTGTCTGACAGTAACCAAGGTGTGTGCTCTCCCCACAGGTAGGTGATGTCACAAACAAAAAGCCTCAGCGCCTGGTGACCCAGTTCCACTTCACCAGTTGGCCTGACTTTGGGGTCCCCTTCACCCCTATTGGGATGCTGAAGTTCCTGAAGAAGGTGAAGATGTGTAACCCCCAGTATGCAGGAGCGATAGTCGTTCACTGCAGGTGAGTCCAGGGCCACATCTCCCAGAGAGCCCTCCCTCCCTCCCTCCTCCATGTATCTCTGCCTGACAGCTCTCGGGGGTTATCCAGAGAAACCTGTTCTATCTCCTGCAGAAGGTTGCCAGGGGCAGACAGAGGGGGTCCTGGATTCACTGCATGAGTGCAAGCAACAGCCATAGTTATGCATAAATCACATGCACGGGGAGCTGGGACTAGAGCCCTGCCCTTTCACCTCCAAAAGCACAGGCCTCGCGTGAGCCATGTGACCAAAGAAGATGGCCTGTGGCTAGCAGGAGTAGTAGTAACAGCTCACTTGGCTGCTCTGTGGACACAGCCACCGGGGGTAACATCACAGCAGGCTATAACATTCCAGCATCCTGCATTTGAGATTTGGGCTTTAACCCTTACTGGAGTGGATCCCAGGCAAAGCAAGGAGCTCCAGGCTCTCTCTCTACCTGGAATAACAAAGAAGCTGCAGAGCTTGCCTGGGGTAATATCCACCATATTTGATATATAGCTTCCACATCCTCCTGTTCTCGAGCACTGCCAGGGAGGGTGGGAGCCAGCCAGGCACTTTGACTTGCTCAGGGTCATGGTGGCAAGTGAGTGGCAGAACCAGCAATTGGACCCAGCTCTCCTGACTCACATTCCCCTGCTCTGGCCATGAGACAATGCTGTCTGTAATGCTGTTCACTTCTGTAGCCCCTTTACCCTTCACAAACTATAAAGACCCAGCGGAACTGATATGCAGCCACCTCTAGAGAGGAGTGTGGCAGCCGGTGTAACAGGGTGAGCTAGAGATGATGTGACTGAGGACGTTGGGCAAATCCCTCTTGCAGGACGCGCACACACACACACACACCCCCACACACTAGGGCATGGTACTCCATGCGTCTCCCTCAGGCTCCCTGACAAGACTCAAACGTGTTGGAACTAGTGCGAGGATCCACCCTGAGCCTCTTCAGCTCTACATACTCTTCCATGAAAAGTTCTCACAAGTCTGACCTTCCCTTGGGCTCATCTCTCCCTTGATACATTGAGAGCTGAGCACTGAGAACAGGAACCCAAAGCATGGACAGAGCCAGAGAGAGGAGCGATGGAGCTGGGCTCTGGCCTGTCAGAGTGACTGGCTGCCATGGGCCTACCCCTGTAGGGGAGAGGGCAGGCTGGAAGGAAGCTGGGGGCAGAGGACAGCCAGGCAACATCCACAGGCAGGACTTCAAGACGCTACCAGTCTGAATCGACTCCGGGGTTCACTGTGGCCTGCTCTGTGCTCTCATGCACTCTGGGTCCCAGGGGGTGGGATTGTTGGAGTCTAGAAATGTCTGTCTCAGCTGTAGCCTTTGGACCCTAGAATAGCCCCTGTTGTAGTTGGGTACAAGTTCGAGCTCCCTTCTTCTTTCTTGTCTGGAGTGGATTGAGCTGCCTGCTGTCTAGGGTGAGTTGTTGTAGCCTCTTGGCTCTTTCTGTTGCTTTGTGCAGCAGCTAACCTTCCCTGAGCAGGCATGGGGCAGTGGAACGGGCCATACTCCAATGCCAGCTGCACTGACTGCTTGTTCCTCTGGTGTTACAGCGCCGGGGTAGGACGCACAGGCACTTTTATCGTCATTGATGCCATGCTGGACATGATGCATGCAGAGAGGAAGGTGGATGTGTACGGTTTTGTGAGCCGGATCCGGGCTCAGCGCTGCCAGATGGTACAGACCGATGTAAGTCCACTCCAAGGGGCTGGAGAGGGGCTCTGTGACTCTGGGCACTTACATAGCACTTCCCACACTCAGGACACTGCAGACAGCAGCTAATCAGTTGCAGCACCCCTGTGAGGTGGGTCAGTCTCACCTCCATTTTACAGAAAGGGCACTGAGGCACAGACAGGTGAGCTGATTTGCCCAAGGATGCACAGAAGTAAGAGACAGATCTACTGACTCCCAGAACCTCCATTCATTCCTCCAGACCACAGTACTTTCCAGCTTCCACCCATTACTGGAGCGTGGCTGATAACACTTTGCCCTCTGTAGCAGTGGTGCACACACTTTTCCAGTTATGTCCCCCTTACCAGTAATGGAATCTGTCCGTGTGTGTACACACACACACAGCCAAGGCGTACACGTACACACACCCATTACTACACAGCCAAGGCGTACACGTACACACACACACACACACACACCCATTACTATACAGCCAAGGCTTCTTCAGCAGCAGGCTGCTTCTATCTTGCAGCCAGGCTGCACTGCTAGGGCAGGGCCAGTACCTGCCCCTCCCCCTTCGGGTTTTCAGGTTGGGGGAAGGCACGTCTCTGGGGGTGGAGGCTGCTGGGAGCAGAACTAGGTGCAGCATACTGACCCACAGGCAGGGTGGCCTGCTGAGGTGCTTCCTCCATGCCCCTTGTGGGTGCTAGCATGAACCGCCCGACTTTGCTGCTTGGCCTCCCAAACATCCCTCTGCGCCCCCATAGGGGGCACGCCCCACAGTTTGCACACCGCTGTTCTATAGCACCCTTCATGCAAAGCTTCCCACGCCCTTCGCAAACCTTAACTAAGCCTGTGTGGCAGGCAGGTATCACCATCCCCATTTTACAAACAGTGACACTGAGGCACAGTGAGGACAAGGCCAATGTTCTAAAAAGTAGCCTCTGATTTGGGATGCATCAGTGTTTGGGAGTCCAGCTCTGGACATTCAGTAGCAGCAGCCATGCTCAGCCATTTAAACAGAGCATGTGGCCTTTCCCACTCTCCATGGACAGGGGAAGCATGTGAACACCAGTCCTCTCCAGGCAGCTTCCTCTCTGAGCCACTCTTCATTGTTCCATGCATCCTAGGTCTGCCCTTGTTCCCCCACCCTGTTTTCTTCAGCCATGAGCATCTCCTGATCTGCCAGCCCATGGCCCCGCTCTGTAGCTGGTCACTGAGAACATGTTATAAGAGTTTGATCCTCTCCCAGATGGGGGGAAAGTTACCATTGACTTTAATGTGTCCAATTTGCTCAGTGGTTGTGCTGATGTTGGTGCCTGGACTTTGGGCTTCCACCCTTCCCACACACGCTCTCCTAGATTGCACTCAGCTGAAAGACAGGGAGCTGAATGGGTTCAGAGCATGGTATGGAAGCTGCTCTCTCTCCCTGTAACTTCACGCTTCCCTTTCAGATGCAATATGTGTTTATATACCAAGCACTTCTGGAGCACTATCTGTATGGAGACACAGAGCTAGAAGTGACCTCACTAGAGAGCCATCTCCAGAAAATCTACAACAAAGTACCCGGGACCAGCAGCAACGGGTTAGAGGAGGAGTTCAAGGTGGGTTTGTCAAAACCATGCTGGCTCAGTGCCCTTGCAAAGAGAGACCAGGACAAGTGACTCATGAAAGTTGCATCCAATCCCATCCTGAGACAGCAGGTTCTCCAGGCAGAGTGACAGCCAGACTCTACAAAATACTAGGCAGTGCCTGCAGAGGGAACAGCCCCTCCACTGGCACGAAGAGGTTGGATGATCTGTTTGTTCCTTAAATATCGAATAAAAGGGGGCCCTTAGTTCCAAGGCCCTTTCCCCAGCAGGAACGTTTTGCTGGAGTGTGTTTGTAGTAACCAGTGCAGTTTCTCTGTAAGTGACACCTGGAAGCCAGCTGGTTTGAGGGTTTGGAGGAGTCCCGTAGGGGAATGCCAGCCCAAAGATTAGGGAAAGCAGCCGTCAGCTGAGAAGTGTGGCCTGGGACTCCTGACCGGAAGGAGTCCTTTTTCAAGCCAAAACACTCTCTGATTCTTGACATGAGCTCCTTGTGCCCCCTGCTTTCCCACTGCTAGTTCCCAGCTCAACAACCAGAATTTGACAGGAGGAGACAGGGCTGGGGACTTGATAAAGTAGAGTGTGTTCTCTGTCTAGCCAGTTTTATGGCCCCCATCACTGTAGTGTCTCTGTCTTGCAGAGATCAGCAGTAGGGAACTGTTAATATCCCTATCTGATAGATGGGTCACTGGGGCACACAGAGATGAAGTGACTGGCCTAAGGCCACATTGGGAATCTTTGGCAGAGCCAGGAATTGAGCCAGGTCTCCTGACCATCCTTATGAGAGTACAGAAGGGAGTCGTAGATCTGACAGCTCCATTAGTTTAGTTGCGGTTTGTCCTGCTTTGAGCAGGGGATTGGACTAGATGACCTCCTGAGGTCTCTTCCAACCTTAATATTCTATGATTGCAGAATATAGTGTGCACAGCTGCATACAATGAGACACAGGCAGTGGCATCATGCAGAGACCCACATCAAGGCTCATTATTTAAAGGAGGGGAGGGATGGTCTAGCGTGACAGTGGTGAAAGCGTGAACTCCTTATTCTGGTGCATATCCCAGTGGCTGGGAACTGCTGGCTCAAGGCAACTCATTCAGACTTGGCAGTTGGCTTAGATTGGCACGGGGCCTGGGCAGGCTTGGGGCGATTGGCTTGGACTGGTGTGGGGCATTTTGACTGTTATGGTCTTGGCTTTTGGTCATTTGAAAGTTGTAGGTTGATTTTATTGTCCCCCCTGCAGAAACTAACTTCAATCAAAATCCAGAATGACAAGATGAGAACAGGCAACTTGCCGGCAAATATGAAGAAAAACAGGGTGCTTCAAATAATTCCATGTGAGTTTTTCTTCCATCCTGCCCAGGGCAAAGACACACTCAGGGAACAAATGGATAAATATAGAGGGTGAATCATTTGGGAGGACAAAAGGCAGCAGCAGCTGCAGAGGAGGTGGCTCTTGCACCAACAGTAGTTTGTGAAGGGGATGGGGACTAGCCACTGTGAGTGGAGGGAGCAGAGTGGTGAGCATAAGACTTTTAAAACAAATGAGGTAAATTTGAAGTGAATCCTGAAATGAATGGGGAGCCAGTGGAGGCATCTGAGCATTGAGGCTGTAGCTGGGCTTACCCAGTCTGGATTTGGGCCCTGTCCTTGCCTCAGTTTCATAGAATCATAGAATATCAGGGTTGGAAGGGACCTCAGGAGGTCATCTAGTCCAACCCCCTGCTCAAAGCAGGACCAATCCCCAATTAAATCATCCCAGCCAGGGCTTTGTCAAGCCTGACCTTAAAAACTTCTAAGGAAGGAGATTCTACCACCTCCCTAGGTAACGCATTCCAGTGTTTCACCACCCTCCTAGTGAAAAAGTTTTTCCTAATATCCAACCTAAACCTCCCCCTCTGCAACTTGAGACCATTACTCCTTGTCCTGTCCTCTTCTACCACTGAGAATAGTCTAGAACCATCCTCTCTGGAACCACCTCTCAGGTGGCTGAAAGCAGCTATCAAATCCCCCCTCATTCTTGTCTTCTGCAGACTAAACAATCCCAGTTCCCTCAGCCTCTCCTCATAAGTCATGTGTTCCAGACCCCTAATCATTTTTGTTGCCCTTCGCTGGACTTTCTCCAATTTATCCACATCCTTCTTGTAGTGTGGGGCCCAAAACTGGACACAGTACTCCAGATGAGGCCTCACCAATGTCGAATAGAGGGGGACGATCACGTCCCTCGATTTGTTCGCTATGCCCCTACTTATACATCCCAAAATGCCTTCTTGGCAACAAGGGCACACTGTTTCCTCTTCTCCAGTTTAGAAAACTTCACACTGCAAGTGCTTTCTCAATAACTGTCCCCTTTTGGGAGTCTGGTTTAATAAAAAAGTTGAAAACTTGCCCTAGCCTTCCTAGCTGGCTCACACCCTTGGTAAAAGGCTTAGACATGTACCTGCCAAGGCTTTCCTCTTGCAGGCTGGCTCCCCACTCTCCAGCCCCCTGGCCCCTTGCCTGGAAGCTAAGGGGCCTGTAACTCTGTACAGAGCAGCTCTTCTGCTCCTTTGAGTCTCTCTTCAAACTCTCCCTCACTGAGCTCAAGCAGCCTTTTACATCTTTTAGTATAACTGGTTCTGAGTCATATGCTTCAATCATTTGACCTCTGTATTCATTCCCTCCACCTGGGGAGACAGGCGAAGCCTGGCTGTTAGGGCCAGTTCACTCTGTGGCAGGCCATGTGCTCATGTTTCTTGGTGTTTGTGAGAAGCTGGGCAGTGGCATGCAGACTAGAAGAGGTGACTCACTGCATAGTACAAAGTAGCCTGCCCAGGAGATCATAGAAGTTTAGGGTTGGAAGAGACCTCAGGACGTCATCTAGTCCAACCCACTGCTCAAAGCAGGAAGAACTAAATCATCCCAGCCAGGGCTTTGTCAAGCCGGGCCTTAAAATCCTCTAAGGATGGAGATTCCACCACTTCCCTAGGTAACCCATTCCAGTGCTTCACCACCCTCCTAGTGAACCAACCTAGACCTCCCCCACTGCAACTTGAGACCATTGCTCCTTGTTCTGTCATCTGCCACCACTGAGAACAGCCTAGCTCCATCCTCTTTGGAACCCCGCTTCAGGTAGTTGAAGGCTGCTATCAAATGCCCCCTCACTCTTCTCTTCTGCAGATTTAAATAATCCCAGTTCCCTCAGTCTCTCCTCAGGAGTCGTGTGCCCCAGCCCCCTAATCATTTTCATTCTGCTGGACTCTTTCCAATTTGTCCACATCCTTTCTGTAGTGGGGGGCTCAAAACTGGATGCAATACTCCAGATGTGGCCTCACCAGTGCCAAATAGAGGGGGAGCAATCACTTCCCTCAATCTGCTGGCAATGCTCCTACTAATGCAGGCCAGTATGCCATTAGCCTTCTTGGCAACAAGGGCACGCTGTTGACTCATATCCAGCTTCTCGTCCACTGTAATCCCCAGATCCTTTTCTGCAGAACTGCCGCTTAGTCAGTCGGTCCACAGCCTGTATCAGTGCATGTGATACTTCTGTCCTAACTGCAGATTCTGCACTTGTCCTGTTGAACCTCATCAGATTTCTTTTGGCCCAATCCTCCAATTTGTCTAGGTCACTCTGGACCCTATCCATACCCTCCTGTGTATCTACCTCTCCCTCCAGCTTAGTGTCAACTGTGAACTTGCTGAGGCTGCAATTTATCCCATCGTCCAGATCACTGATGAAGATGTTGAACAAAACCGTCCCCAGGACTGATCCCTGGAGCACTCCGCTTGATACCAGCTGCCAACTAGACATTGAGCCATTGATCACTACCCGTTGAGCCCAACAATCTAGCCAGCTTTCTATCCCCCTTATTGTCCATTCATCCAATCCATACTTTAACTTGCTGGCAAGAATACTGTGGGAGACTGTATCAAAAGCTTTGCTAAAGTCAAGGTATATCAGATCCACTGCTTTCCCCATATCAACAGAGCCAGTTATCTCATCATAGAAGGCAATCAGGTTGGTCAGGCTCGACTTGCCCTTGGTGAATCCATGTTGACTGTTCCTGATCACCTTCCTCTCCTCCAAGTGCTTTGGAATGGATTCTTTGAGGACCTGCTCCATGATTTTTCCGGGGACTGTGGTGAGGCTGACCAGTCTGTAGTTCCCTGGGTTCTCCTTCTTCCCTTTTTTAAAGATGGGCCCTATATTTGCCTTTTTCCAATCGTCCAGGACCTCCCCCAATCACCACGAGTTTTCAGACATAATGGCCAATGGCTCTGCAATCACATCAGCCAACTCCCTCAGCACCCTCAAATGAGTTGCATCTGGCCCCATGGATTTGTGCATGTCCATCTTTTCTATCTAGTCCTTAACCTGTTCTTTCACCACTACGGGCTGCTCACCTCCTCTCCATACTGTGCTTCCCAGTGTAGCAATCTGGGAGCTGATTTTGTTGTGAAGACCAAGGCAAAAAAAGCATTGAGTACTTCAGCTTTTTCCACATCAACTGTCACTAGGTTGCCTCCCCCATTCAGTAAGGGTCCCACACTTTCCCTGACCACCTTCTTGTTACAATACCCATAGAAACCCTTTGTGTTACCCTTCACATCCCTTGTTAGCTGCAACTCCAATTGTGCTTTGGCCTTCCTGATTACACCCCTGCATGCTCGAGCAATATCTTTATACTCCTTCCTAGTCATCTGTCCAAGTTTCCACTTCTTGTAAGCTTCCTTTTTGTGTTTAAGCTCACCGAAGATTTCTCTGTTAAGACAAGCTGGTTGCCTGCCATATTTGCTATTCTTTCTGCACATAAGGATGGTTTGTTCCTGCGCCCTCAATAAGGCTTCTTTAAAATACAGCCAGTTCTTCTGGACTCCTTTCCCCCTCATATTAGCCTCCCAGGAGATCCTGCCCATCAGTTCCCTGAGGGAGTCAAAGTCTGCTTTTCTAAAGTCCAGGGTCCTTATTCTGCTGCTCTCCTTTCTTTCTTTTGACACGATCCTGAACTTGACCATCTCATGGTCACTGCTGCCCAGGTTGCCACCCACTGCTACTTCCCCTACCAATTCTTCCCTGTTTGTGAGTAGCAGGTCAAGCAGAGCACAGCCCCTAGTTGGTTCCATCCCATCCCAGGAAGTTGTCCCCAACACTCTCCGAAAGCTTCCTGGATTGTCTGTGCACTACTGTATTACTCTCCCAGCAGATGTCAGCATGATTGAAGTCCCCCATGAGAACCAGGGCCTGAGATCTGGAAACTTCTCTTGGTTGTCCGAAGAAAGCCTCGTCTACCTCATCCTCCTGGTCTGGTAGTCTATAGCAGATGCCCACCACAACATCACCCTTGTTGCTCTCGCCTTAAACTTAAACCAAAGACTCTCAACAGGCTTTTCTCCAGTTTCATGCTGGAGCTCTGAGCAATCATACCGCTCCCTTACATGCAGTGTAACTCCTCCACCTTTTCTCCCCCGCCTGTTCTTCCTGAACAGTTTATACCCATCCATGACAGTGCTTCAGTCATGTGAGTTACCCCACCTAGTCTCTAATTCCAATCACATCGTAGTTCCTTGACTGTGCCAGGACTTCCAATTCTTCCTGCTTGTTTCCCAGGCTTCTTGCGTTCGTGTAAAGTCACCTAAGATAGCTAGCTGATTGCCCTACTTTTTCAGTATGAATCAGGAGGCCTCCCCTGTTGCACCCTCCTCCTTGTGTTTCCTCCCAGTATCCCATTTCCCCACTTACCTCAGGGCTTAGGTCTCCATCTCGCGGCGAACCTAGTTTAAAGCCCTCCTCACTAGGTTATCAAACCTGCCTGCGAAGATGGCTCTTCCCTCTCTTCGTTAGGTGGATCCCATCTCTTCCTAGCAATCCTCCTTCCTGGAACAACTTCCCATGGTTGAAGAATCCAAAGCCCTTTCTCCAACACCACCTGTGCAACCACACATTTACTTCCACAATTCGATGGTCCCTACTTGGGCCTTTTCCTTCAACAGGGAGGATGGAAGAGAACATGACTTGTGCCTCAAACTCCTTTATCCTTCTTCCCAGAGCCATGTAGTCTGCAGTGACCGGCTCAAGGTCATTCTTGGCAGTATCATTGGTGCCCACGTGGAGAAGTAGAAAGATGAAGAGCCAGAGCCATGCAACACGTCATGCAGATTTTTGTTCGGTCTTATCTACCTGTTGCATTCCATCTGATTAGTTGTCTGGGACAAGGGACTGTCTTTGTTAGTTACCTGTGCAGTGTCCAGCACTGATCCGTGATCCTAGATGCTACTGCAATACAAATTAATAATGCTAATGATTTAGGCCATGTGAATTTTGGCTCTGCGAACCATGCTCCATGTGCTTGCAAGCAATTATTCTACAGTGCCTAGATATTGATATGTGAGGGTTCATATTGGGAGAAAATAAACACTAGTACTCTCCTAAGCCCCACCCTCTGTTGACACCAAAATGACAAGTCATCCTTAGCAGACTGTGCTGGAATTCCATAATCTGGTAATCTCTCCCCTTCCAATCTTTGATCCATGAAATAGTTAGCAATTCTGACTTTTAAATTGTCATCATTGGGCTTCAGAGTCAACACCCCATTGATCTGAAAAGGAGTGGTTCAAACTGCTGTGTAGACAGCACTGCTTTGGTTCCTGGATTCACATTTCAGGTTGCAACCATGAAGGCTAAAGACTTAATTCTTTTAAATGAAAGTTGAGGTTAAGATGGTAGTCACTGGGGAAAAGTGCTATCTTGAACTGAGATGGCAAAAGGGTGAATATTTGCTGTGCTCATGCTAAAGGAGGCAGACCATGCTGGACGATTTCCATTTCCCAGTATGGTTTAGGAATAGAGCTGGTCAACATTTGAGATTTCTGGGTCATGAGAAATTTTGATGATTCAGAATTTGAGTACCACTATTCATTTTTTTTCCAGTGAAAATTTCTGACCAGCTCTGTTCCTAAATAGTTTTGCCCAAGGCACAAACGTTTCTCACTCTGCTTTAGAGTGTCGTTAACACTATGATTTATCTGTCCAAGAGCTCCAGGGTCTCCATTACTGTGCATTATCTGAGCCTCCCACAATCTTTAATGAATGTATCCATACCACACACCTGTGAGGTACAGAAATGCTGTTATCTCCAGTGTATAGATGGGAACTGAGGTACAGAGAAATTAAGTGACTTGCCCAGGGTCACACAGGGAGTCTGGGATACAGCATGGAACTGAATGGAGGTCTCCCCAGTCCCAGGCTAGCTCCCTGTTCACTGAGCCATCCTTCATCTCTGTTGTCTCAATCTGACGGCACCCTTGGGGCTGCATTAACTTTCATCCGAAGGTTGATGCCTGAGTAGCAAGTATCTGTGTTTTGAAAATATTCCCCAAAACTCCAATCTGCTTGTCTGGCTTCTATTTTAGATGAGTTCAATCGAGTGATCATTCCAGTGAAGAGAGGCGAAGAGAACACAGACTATGTCAATGCGTCCTTTATTGATGTAAGTTCTTGTTTCCTGTTCATACTCTAACCATGGCAGGTTGCAGCCAATAACCCTCCACCTCAAACATAGCCAGGATGGGCCTAGTCTTTAAATGCTTCCTTTTTAGGGTGTTGGGGGTTTTTTTTATTGTATTTAGAACTGATGGAAGGTGCTAGTCTGACTGGGGACTGGAGTCCCTTGTTTCTCCTAATAACATGTACAGCTCAGGCAAAAGCCGCGTGAGCTTCCATGCTGCCCCACCCTTGTGCCTCTTCATGACCTGAAGAGACAGATCACAGGGTGATTTCAGTCTCAACAGCCCCGTTGGGTCTTCCACTGAGCCCCACAACAAGTGTGATAGTGACTCTTGTGATAGTGACTAACTGTCTCCGAGGCATAGAACAGCGACTACAAGCTCCTTTCATTTGGCCACTGAACGTCCACCAGACAATGCAATGTAATCATAATACACCAATCTCAAAGCCCTTGACAAAAGCAGATCAGCCTCGTTATCCTCAGACTGGAGGAAATGAGACACAGAGGTTAAGTGATCTACTCACCAAGGGCTAAGTTGCACAGCCCTTGCTGACAGGTAGTCCTGCTGATGTCAACGGGAAGCCTCACATTAGCATTCATACACGCAATGCACCCAACAATGAGTAAGTGATATAGGATCCCCAGGTTTTCTGACACCCAATCCTGTCTCTGACCCCCAGATGACAGTTGCTCCCAAAGGCAAGTCATTTTTGGTAATGACTGTCCTGGGCTAGATTTGAACCAGTGACGGAGAGGGGAAAGGCACTGTGTCACATGCATAACACCCTGATCTATCTATCCCCCTGCAATGTAATTTTCTAATGAGTATCATCCATAATGGGTGAGTCCCGCTATGCTGCTCTGTCATTATATTCTGACTCAATCTGTTTCAAACAGAGCGCAGTATAAGCAGCCCACTTGGCGTCCCAGCCCTGTTTGTTTGTCATGAATCTAGGTCAGAAAGCCCTTGATGCGGTGTAGGCAGCTTTGTTGAGAATTCAATTTCCTGCCTCTACTGAACTTTGCTTGACTGACACGCACCAAATGACTAAGCATCTTTGTGTTGTCGCTGCAAACTCGGATGAAAAAGAACAACAGAAACTTTGACTGTCAGAAGGAGGAATGTTTCTTGGTTGTGGAACAGCAGTTGTCAACCTATACTGTAGATTGCAGTGTAGGCCTGGTTTTGCTCCTCTCCTTAAAATCCACAGTAAAAGCTACATCATCGTTAAAACTGGTAGATTAGGTCTGGGCCCAGGGTAAAATTTTTCTACAAAATTTGAACTGACTCAAATAAGGGATTCCTGAATTATGACATCCTAAAAGCGGGTGTTCTCCGGGGTCCAAAGAGGCTTCTGATGTTTTGGTCGTTTCACGTTTTCGCCACTCTGTAGCAACAAAAAAACTGCAAAGAAGAGGAGAACAACACTTGAGTTTATTTGGCAGCCCTGGCTGTGAGCTAGTCTCCAGGACCAATAGTTAGCTGACTCAAGCCTAATTTCTAAAGACATCAACTTTTTAATTTGGACCATCACTGTGGATTGTTGGCTGTGGTGAGCCAAGCGCAACTTATCTCAGGCTCGCTGGAGACATGAGCTTTCCTCTACAGAAGCAGTAAGATCTGGTCCTGATTTAACTACATTGCGTTAGACACCGAGTTAGCTAATTTGGTGCCATTCCCTTGTGTGGACACTTTTAAACTAGAATCTGAGTGTCCACAGAAGTGGCTAGCAGCTGTTTAACTACATCAGTTTCTAAAGCAGTGTAGTTAAATCTGAACCATTTTCTTTTGTAGACAAGACCGAGGTCTGTAGCCCTTTACTGTGCAGACAGAGCTCAGATTTGGTGTCACCGCATCACTGGGGAGGCTTCTCACTGTAATAGACACATTTCTACCAAAAGCCTCATCAGCACCCTGACAAGCTCACTAAGTATTGGCAGACCTACCAAGGCTCATAGGGGCTTTGAGTGTCCCAGTTAGCCCCCTGAGGCTAGGTGGGGTTCTCTTTCATGCAGACCTGGGTAGGTCCACAGGAAGTGAGAGGATCCCAATATGATTCTCCAAGTTCCCTGTGCAGTCCATTCCATATCCGTCTGCAGCCTTCCTAGGGTCTGCCGGAGCCAAGCTCTCTTCCTACCACTGTTGGGACTGAGCGAGTCAGGACCACAGACCTTCCCCCCAATTCCTGTCAACCTCTATATGCCTCAATCTTCCCTCACCTGCAAAATGAGGACAGGAACAACCCGCCTCACAGTGAGGCTGGGAGGCTTAGTGAGGATTTGTCAGTCAGTTTGAGATCCACAAGTGGAAGGTACATGAGAAGTAGGGCCATTGTGTGGTGCAGCAAGCTGGATCCCCGATGTCTGGCTCTTTGTACCGTGGGTTACAGTTCTCAATTCTTCAAGAGCCAAATGAGCAACGTGGGCCACTTACAATTTGGGTCTTTGCCACGCAAGGAGACGCGCTGTCCAACACAAGAGGCATCTGCTTGAGATGCTGTAAGGCTCTTTATGTAACATGTACAAGACTCTTGATCATCTGTTTCCTTTGTGTTGTCACTAATTTACTGGACCACCCTATGTGGGGCACAGTGATTGGATACCTAAGCTCAGTGACGTGCTGTGATGAGTCATAGCTGAAAAGTGGGCCTAGGAAGGCTGGATGCATTGGAATTAAAGCTACTTTGGGGTCAGAATTAATGCTAAAAAACCAGGCTCCCCAGGAAGGGAGAATGTTTTGACTATGTCTAAGTAATAGCCTGTAGCCTGAGTCTTCACCATGGAGCATGACTGAGACAGCAAATTATGAGGCATAACAGAGCTGATAGAGTGGAGATGAGTGATGGCAGAGCCTTGGCAGAGCAAGAGCTGCTGCTATCTTGACTTTTTACATTTGGATAATGGGACAAAAGGGCAGCCTCCAAATACGTCAAGGGTTTAAGTGCCAGAAGGGGAAAGCAACTACTTATGTGATATACTGGGGATAAGCCAGAGTGATGGGGTTGCCTGATAATAGGGGAGATTGCAATGTGATGTATTGCCCTGTGGAACCGTCTCCCTGTGGTGGAAGCCTCATCACCTGGGACATTTAAAACAGGTCTGATCCTGCACTGGCAGGGAGGGTGTAAAGGGCCATTTCTGTCTCTGACTCCTGTGATTCTGTCTGCTGTGTAGCCATGTGCTACACAGCAGAAGATCTACACCAAGTAATTTGTACAAGAAGTTGTTCAAACATCCAACTTCTGAATGAAAAGGAAACTGGATCATAGAAGTTAGAGATGGAAAAAGGTTTGTTGCAGCACTGATCCCCTTCCCTGCCTGTACAGAAGACAGCCAAGTTCACAAGCCTTTGGCAAACAAGAACCAAGTTTTTCAACTGTCACCAGGAAGGGATTTCAGGTTCTGGCTGGTGTGGGGAGAGAAATGGGAGATTCTGAGCTTTGGTGCGGTTTCCTCCTGAAACCAAGCCAAACACACTGGTTTCATATGATCTGTGCTTTGGAGCCTGTGATCCACCCACAGGACTCTCCCGGTGAGTTCCCACCCAGTTCCCCACACTGGTGCCCACTGTCACCAACCCCTCACACTTCTTGTCTTGCCGTATGCTCTGCACCCATCTGATAGTAATCTCTCTGTGGATGAGAGGGAGTTCATGGCAGCATAGCTCTGTGTCAGGTAGAACAGCTGCTGCTGCAGATGCTGACAGCACTGGGGTGAGTTCCAGGCTGCATGCAGTTCTGCTGCCCCAACAACCATGGCTTGAAATTGCAGGGTTATCGCCAGAAGGACTCATACATTGCCAGCCAGGGCCCTCTTCAGCACACACTAGAGGATTTCTGGAGGATGATCTGGGAGTGGAAATCCTGCTCTATAGTTATGTTAACAGAGCTGGAAGAGAGAGGCCAGGTAAGTGCCTGGGATTAACTAACTCTGCAGCTGTTGGGAAAGCAACATCATGATGCCTTCATCACTGGTGGGAAAATCAAGGCAAGACCGTACAGCCCCTTGTTGCTTGTTCCCAACACATCCCAAATTATGTAACTATTTAACACACACACATGCACCCGACCTTCTCGGGTGAATCTTGTGCTGCAGCCCGATCTCTGGTTTTACTCCCAAAGAATCCACGTGCTTATAGACACAGTACAAATTTTAGACATGAGGAGATGGGACAAGGACCCAAGACATTCCACTCCCAAAACACCTCTTGAGCTAAATGGCCACTCGCTAGTTATTGTCTTTGCGCTGGCTTCTGGAGAGCAACATCACTCATGCACAAAGCTAGAGAGCTGCATCCTAATTCCCCTCTAAACCTCTGGATCCCATGGTTGGCCTACTGAGGCCTCCTTGTAACAGACCCCTCAGGCCAGGATGGAGAGGGGGGGATTTCATGCTGCCACATGGAGGTTTCTCACCTCGTCACCTCTCATGCTTTCTCAGGAGAAATGTGCCCAGTACTGGCCTTCTGATGGCTCTGTGTCCTATGGAGACATCACCATGGAGCTGAAAAAAGAGGAGGAATGTGAGAGCTACACAGTGCGGGACCTGCTAGTAACAAACACCAGGGTAGGAGTCTCTCTCCCTCACCATGGAAGGCAGCTCTGGGATCTCTGGGCATTTGCTGTAGTTAACCCCTGGTTCTGTCTATAGTTGCCCTGCTTCCCCTCACTCCTGCAGCCCTGTCCCAAATGCTGATTCTCCCCTTTTCCCCTAGCCCCTCCTCAGCTTCCCTACCCTTCCACAATTGCCCCAAAACGACACCTCCACTGCCAGTTCCCTCCTTCCTCACCCTTCTCCCTGCACACTGCTGTCCTATCCCCTTCCCCGTTGTTAACCTCTCCTCTCCCACTGACCTATGGTCATGCCTCCCCCACTGCGGAGCTCCCTTCCCCCACCAGAAACTCAGTTATCCACTTCCTGCCCCCCACCTCCCTGCTGCCATCCAACCCATACTCTCTCCTCTGCTGGTTCCCTCCTGGGCCTCCCAAACCCTCCCTGGTTTCCAGTTCCCCACTTTGTCCCCTAGGGCACCCCCCACCAACCGACTCCCTGACACACTGCCATTGGTCCTATTGGGCATCTGCTGCTACTGCCCTTCTGATCATTGTCTTCTAACTTTCTTCCCAAGCCCTTGCAACAATCTGTTTCCAGCTACGCATCTGGACTTAGGTTGGTCTAGTGGAGTGAAGTTGTCATTGTTTTTCTCCTGCAAGGAAAACAAGAGCCGGCAGATTCGACAGTTCCATTTCCATGGCTGGCCGGAAGTTGGAATCCCTAGCGATGGGAAAGGAATGATCAATATCATTGCAGCTGTGCAGAAACAGCAGCAGCAGTCTGGGAACCATCCAATCACTGTGCACTGCAGGTACAGCCCAGTCAGGCCAAGGGACTGGACACAGTTGGCCTAGAGCCAGCATTGCTCTGGTCTTGGGTAACTTCAATAGATCTGCAAGCCAGTGAAAGGGACCGGATTGGTTATGGACGTCCTCAGCCCACTGATCAGGGGCAACACAGACAGCTGTGGTGCAAGCTTCTCTCATGCTGCCCCGCCAGTGTACCTCAACCTGGAGCTGGAGGGGTCCGGGAGTAATTCTGTCACCAGGCCCCATTCAGTCCTTGGCGTCTCTTCCTCCTATTTCAGGGACAGTTGAGTTTGTGGTGGGAGTTGATGTGGAGAAATTGGGAACTGGTCTGAGACCACTCAGCTCATGTCACATGATGTCCAAACCTTCTTCACCATCTGACTAGCTGTTTGACCTAATTCTGGCCAGACATGAGGTGGTGCCCAAGAGAGGAGGGAACAATGGATAATTAGTCAGATGGGATGCTTCACATGAAAACAACTGTCTATAAATGGTAGTTAAACTAGAAAACACAAAGGAGACTGTTCAAGATGTTCACGTTCCCCAGCATTTCCCTCCCACTGCCTGGGTAGGAGCATCCATGCAACCAAATGAATGTACTCTGTATTGATCGCTTTCTCTGTGCTCTTCTTTTTGTCTCTTTGCCAGTGCCGGGGCAGGAAGAACAGGAACCTTTTGTGCACTGAGCACTGTCCTGGAAAGGGTTAAAGCCGAGGGGATTCTGGACGTCTTTCAGACAGTGAAGAGTTTAAGATTACAGAGGCCACATATGGTGCAGACACTGGTAGGCACAAGTTATTGCATCTTCACTACCTAGCTCCCTTCATGCCTTAATAGATCTCGGTTGAGATGTGCCTGCAAACTTTCCTTCCTCTCAGCCAAGTTTTCTGAGTGGGAATTTCCCTAGTTAAAATAATCCTAATGGTGGGGAGAAGGAGGATTCTCTCCTCTACCCCCTTCCTCCTAACAACCTGAGTTCTACAGGGAGGGGAGCACGGTGCTAGGAATAAGGAGACCTGATTCTGTTCCGGACACTGCCACTGACTGCCTCTTTCACCATGGGAAGTTACTTACAGACAGAAGTGCCAAACATCCGTAGCTTCTGCTGATCTGTCGATGCTCAGCACCTTTGAAAAGCAGGCCACTAGCCTCTGCATGACTCAGTTTTTTGCCCATCTATGATGGGAATAATGATACTTCACCCTTCTCTTGTAAAGTACTCGGAGATGTGCAGTTGAAATTGTTTTGATACAAGACAGGAAGGGACCACTGTGATTATCTAGCCTTACCCCTTCATAACACAGGCCATAAGTGCAAAGTCCCTTTCCTCATCTAATGCTGTGCTTTTCCTCTCCCAAACACCACAGGAACAGTACGAATTCTGCTACAAGGTGGTGCAGGAATACATTGACGCCTTCTCAGATTACGCCAACTTCAAGTGAAAAAACAAAACAAAAAGAAACAAATGACAGAAGAGTTGCCTTCTTTAATATTTTGTAATATTCTGTTTGTTAATATACCCCCCAAAATATGTGTATATATCTTAACTGTTTTAGAGATTGGTACCATAGGCTTCATATTAGCTGGAGATTTTATATGTAGCAAAAGTGTTAGCGCGGATACTGTTGGCTCCTTTTTTCCAATGTTTTATTGGGGAATTAAATAGCGTGATGTTTGGATTAATATTGTCAATCCATCTCTCTGCTGGAGAGTTGATATAGGCTGTTGTTTTGTTTGTAAATCTTTTTTTTTTTTTTTCCCTGAGGGAGTAAAGCCTTTTTAAAAATAATAGTATTCTGGATCTCATCTAAAAGCACAAGCTTTTCCAAACCTGTGGGGAAATGGTTTCACATTTTCCTGCTGTTCTGCTCTTGAAAGAAAGAAAGGAAGGAAGGAAGAAAAGGAAGAAAAAAGCTTATTCTGTATATATCCTAGTTTTTGTATAAAAAGAGAAAAAGCAAAAGTTTTTTTCTCCGGGACTAAATAACTCTGCGTCACCAACTGAGAATGGTAATGGACTTGTAAGTGGCAGCAACAGTTGGGATTTCAACCAGAAAAAAAGGATTTTTGCTCCCTAAAGGAAACTTCCCTGTGTGTGTGCCAGATTTCAGATTGGTTTTATCTGCCGCTCAGCTTGGCAGTTATTGGCAAGCAACACGGTAGGTCGTTTAGATGTCTAGCTGAACTGTAGGTACAGTCAGGTACGTGGATGGCCTTACCTGCTCCTGCAATTAACAAAGGCCATTGTCTGAAATCCTCTGGCTCTCTTATCAGTCTGTGTTCATCAGTGAACAGTAGCAGCTTTGTTGTTGTTAGTATTAAGATTCATTCTCTCTCTCTCTCGGCAAAGCCGAATGTTTCATTCTAGCCTTGTGTACTCTGGGAGTTTCAGCCATTGGTGTCCAGCAAGTGGTATAGCTTCACCAGCACAAATGCTTAGTGTAGACAGGCAAAGCCTCAATAAGTCACCGTTTGTGCCTCTGCCTGAATCTGGGGTTGAGCTACACGTGTGAAAATCATGGCTTCTTGCAGCTCTGCCTGTCCATGTGGGGAGTGTGCACTGGCTCAGCTCCACCAATGGCTGCAGCTGGGGCAAATCCACAGTGTAGACAAGGACTTGGACTGTGTTCTGCCATGAGAGCTGTGTTTACTTCATGTTTGTCTTACACCTGCCAAGGGGGTGTGTTATGGCCCATGTCAGTTATGGGTTGCCCGACCCTGTTTCCTTTATGCTTGGAGGCAGGACTGCCATGTGCCTGCTGGCTGTCAACACATCAGAGCCTCCATGGCGAAGAAATGTGTTTTAATTTTACTCCTTTCCATGTCTGTGGTCAGAAGGACTGAGGGAAGGAGAGTGAGGAGGGGTGAGTAGGTCTCTTCTAGGTGTTGGTGCCATGGTTTGGAGAGAGGATGGGGCACCATAACAATCCAAACTTCAGCCAGCCATTGATTGTCCCTCAGACATCAAGTGCGATCAGCTCCCCTGACACATCTCTTCCTTCCCTCCCTCCACACCCAATGAATGGTCCTTGAGCAGCTCCTGGGCTAGACTTTCCTCCCATACCAGTATAACTACAATGAAAGCCGAGGATTTACACACAGGTCATACTGATGGGAGTACGGTCAGAATCAGGCCTGGTGGGCGGTTCTGCCAAGGATAGTATAGGTCCACAGGTCCAATTCTGTATTTTCTTAGCACTGAAATGAAAATTAGAGGATTTGAGTCTTGCAGCATTCAGGGAGGCAGCACTACCAATAAAAGTCACCAGGAGAAGGTCTCTGGTACCATCCCTAAATAAAGATCCTGTTTGCCTGAGTTAATTGTGGAAGACCAGGTGTCTTCTCAGCCCTTCTGTGGGGGATCTCACAGTCACTCTGTGTAAACCCTCTCCATCCCAGGTTAGTTGTGCAAGGGGAAAATATCAAAAAATCAGACTCTTCTAGAGGACGGTTCTTTTGTTTGGGGGAGGGATTTTATTTTTAATTTCTACACTGAATGTGATACTGTTGAAAGTGCTAACTGAACAGGCTTGGGGATCCATCCCCCAAGAGTGTAGGCTTGCTCTAGCTAAATACACATAGAAATAGTCTGTCTCCCTCTCTCTCACACACAGAATATCCCACCAGTTTGCCGCAGTCCTTACCTGAAGGGATCCTTTCTGAGTGTAAGAGGAGAATTCAGTCTACAGGGCTCATTCACATTTGTCTCTCTACAGAGACAGCCTGCAAAGGCCTCAGTTTTGCACTCTGATCCGCACAGTTGGATCCTTATGCCCATGCAGAGTCCTGCAGATGACAGTAGGGCTCTGTGTGGCCCTGATCCAGAAAAGCATGTAAGCCAGCACACAAACACTGTTCCAAATGGAGATGCTTTCCTGAATCAGGGCCCGTGGATACACAGGCCTGCCTGCAGGATCACGGGCTAAAAGCTCCAGTTGATGCCAAGAATGGTGACATGGATATCTGTCCTCTAGGAGCTAGTCTGAAACCAAGAAGACTTGTTGGTTTTTGATGGAAAGGAGGCACCAAGAATGTATCTTACTTCACAGATGGTAATAAAATAAATAGATCCATAATGTTTAAGGCCAGAAGGGAACAAGCCATAGAATTTCACCCAGTGATTCTGGCATCAAGCACACAGTAACTTGTAGCTAAGCTAGAGCACATCTTCAAGAAAGACATCCAATCTTGAGCTAAACTTCAAGTGATGGACACCACATCCCAGCCAGAGCAGAGATGATGGATAAAGCAAGGAGCCTATTCCTTGCTCCATGGAAAGTATTTCCCTTTTAAGGCTTGCTCTGCCCAGGCTGAGCCCTCCCACATCCACATGACATTATTTGCAGTTTTATGTAGCCTCAATCCTATAAATTTACATGTATCAGTAATTTTACTCAAATGAGTAAAGTTCCTCCCACACTTAAATGTTTGCAGGACCTAGCCTTTAGCCATTGCAGCCTGACACTGTGGTGGTCTCCTAAACATTTTCAATTAACTTTCCTTTGAATATGAAACTTTATCCTGGGTTTTGTGGCTTTTATTGTAGACAAATCTTAAAACTTCTAAGATGTGTTAAAACTTTTCTGCCCCTTTTAAAAGGAAGGGAGCAGGTAGCTTTTACTTCCTTTTTCTCAATATGGCGTTGATTTGGCTCAATTGTTTGCTCTCTCTAGAAGAGAGAGTTCTGAAGTATGTCTGTCTTTAAATACTAGATAGACCTTTTCTGTGTGTGTCTGAAGACGACTTTTTTGAATGAATCCTGTTTTTGAGCTCAAAGATTGTAGCTGATGAGAGAAGAAGGCCGTTGAACTGTTCTTAAAGGAAGATGCAGTGTAATATCTGACCTATTCCAATTTACAATGGAACTTGATTTCAGGGGCCTAAAATACTGGAATTAGAGTGAACAATCAGAGCCCTCTCTCTGTAGTCAGATTGAGTAGGGCTAAGACAAAGCCATTTGCCATTTGATGCATGACTAAACAGAAGACTTTTCCAGCTACTGAATGAATCAATAGAATGTATCTTCCCTATGCATTTAAGTGCCAAGCCGATCCGCTGGGTCCTCATCTACAGCCGGGAAAGGATCAGTGCAACAGCAGCCCTGCTTGAGAGACAGCTAATTTAGACCCCATCATTTATATGCATAATTGGGATTATGTTTTCCAATGTGCATTACTTTGAATGTATCAAAATTGAATTTCATCTGCCATTTTGTTGCCCAGTCACCCAGTTTTGAGAAATCCGTTTGTAGCTCTTCGCAGTCTTCTTGGGACTTAACTATCTTGAGTAGTTTTGTATCATCTGCAAATTTTGCCACCTCACTGTTTACCCCTTTTTCAAGATCATTTATGAATATGTTGAATAGGACTGGGCCCAGTACAGACCCCTGGAGGACACCACTATTTATCTCTCTCCATTCTGAAAACTAACGATTTATTCCTACCCTTTGTTTCTGATCTTTTAACCAGTTACCAATCCATAAGAGGACCTTCCCTCTTATCCCATGACTGCTTACTTTGCTTAAGAGCCTTTGGTGAGGGACCTTGTCCAGGCTTTCTGAAAATCTAAATACACTATATCCACTGGATCTTCCTTGTTCACATGCTTGTTGACCCCCTCAAAGAATTCTAGCAGATTGGTGAGGCATGATTTCCCTTTACAAAAACCATGTTGACTATTCCCCAACAAATTATGTTCATCTGTGTGTCTGACAGTTTTGTTCTTTACTATAGTTTCAACCAGTTTGCCCGGTACTGAAGTCAGGCTTACCGGCCTGTAATTGCCAGGGTCACCTCTGGAGCCCTCTTTAAAAATTGGCATCACATTAGCTATCCTCCAATCGTTTGGTACAGAAGCTGATTTAAATGATAGATTACAGATGACAGTTAGTAGTCCTACTATTTCCCATTTGAGTTCCTTCAGAACTCTTGGGTGAATACCATCTGGTCCTGGTGACTTACTATTGTTTAGTTTATCAATTTGTTCCAAAACCTCCTCTAAAGACACCTCAATCTGGGGCAGTTCCTCAGATTTCTCACCTAAAAAGAATGGCTCAGGTTTGGGAATCTCCCTCACATTCTCAGCCATGAAGACCAATGCAGAGAATTCATTTAGTTTCTTCGCAATGGTCTTATCATCCTTGAGTGCTCCTTTAGCATCTTGATTGTCCAGTGACCCCACTGGTTGTTTAGCAGGCTTCTTGTTTCTGATGTACTAAAAAAAATTTTGCTATTAGTTTTTGAGTCTTTGGCTAGCTGTTCTTCAAATTCTTTTTTGGCCTTCCTAATTATATTTTTACACTTAATTTGCCAGAGTTTATGCACCTTCCTTTTTGTCTCTCACTGCTTCTTTTACTTTGTTGTTTGGCCACGGTGGCTCTTTTTTGGTTCTATTACTGTGTTTTTTAATTTGGGGTATACATTTAAGTTGAGCCTCTAAAGTTTCCATGCAGCTTGCAGGGATTTTACTTTTGGTACTGTACCTTTTAATTTCTGTTTAAAGTAACCTCATTTTTGTGTAGTTTCCCTTTCTGAAATTAAATGCTACAGTATTGGGCTACTGTGGTGTTTTCCCCACCACAGGGATGTTAAATTTAATTATATTATGGTCACTGTTCCCAATCAGTCCAGCTACATTCACCTCTTGGACCTGATCCTGCAGATTGCCCATGTGGGGGGGTCTAGGCCAATGTTCATGACTGTATGTGTGCATGCATGCGAGTAAAATATATCTGTCTTTATTTAGGACAATAATAATGGTTAGAAAGAGCTAAGTTGACTTGGTGTGTTTAACATGCACTATATTTGTATTAATGGCCCAACTGCTTGTGTCATGGAGTGGAATGTAGGCTTACAAAATTTGCAGATGACATGTAGCTGAAGGGGTTGCAAGCACTTTGTAGAGACAGCACTGGGATTCAAAACAACTTGACAAATATGAGAATTGGGCTGAAATCAACAAGATGAAAATTGAATAACAACTTCCATTAAAATCCAAAGTCTGAAAGCTGACATGCATTAGGTACAGCCATAGGCAATCCAGCGTGAAGCAAGCATTAGTGAAATCTATCACAGGGGGTGTGTGTGAGGGAAGTGGGGGAATATTATATGCCAAACAAGAGGGTTTAATAACACACCCACCCAACATAAATTCTGCTTTCTTACTGGAGGGGGTCTTATAAAGTGTCCTTAAAGGTTGGGTTTTTAGATAGCTATGTATATAAGGCTAAATATGCTGGTGTCTTTTTGTGGCTGAGAAGTTAAGTTCCTATTGCAGAAGGCCTGTGTAAGAGTATGGGGAACTGAGTGTAGTTTTTACTGTTCAGATACGACATTTGATTGTTTAATACCCAGGATTGGTTAGAGAGAAAGGACTGAGAGATCTCCAAGGGCTTGGAAATATCCCTTACATTTTATGATATGGTTTGGATGTGCCGTTCCCCTCTCACCCGCCCCCCGATTGTATTTGCTAAGAGACCATTTTCTTTAGCTATAGAATTTCATCTGGAAAACCTGTCTTTGGGGCCAAATTTTCAGCCACTTCCTGCACAGAATTCCTGTTGAAGTTGATAGGAGTCCCCCATGCATTAGGCTTCAGTCCTGCAAACACACTTAACGTTACTGTCATGAGTAGTCCCACTGGAATCAATGGAACTACAGTACTTGCATATATAAAGCTAAGTGTGTGTATAGGTGTATAGTTGTCTGCCACTTTAGTAGGCTATACATGAATTCTGAAAGGATTCCCCAATTCTATATATATATATGGCAGTGAAAATGTTAAATGTCAACTTTCACTGCTTTGTGGCGTAAATTGAGGGGACTGTCTGCTGGAATATCATGGCCTCTCTCTCTGAAGAGCACCATACTGGGTATTGCTGAGTGATGCTGATCAAGTCTTTCCAAATAATCTGTGGATTTACTGCTATGCTGAAGCTAAAAATGGCCATGGTGTAGTGTTGTCAGTAAGTCTGTGACACAAATACGTCGATATATGTGTATACATGAGAGCTGGTCTGCACAAGTATTCTGTAGTATGTGTGTAGATAGCAGTATGTTTAACTAACATGACTTAACTCTATAAACAGGGATAGTCAACATTAAAAGGCTCACACTCCATCCCTCTTGCTATTTGGGTTGATGAGATCCAATGAGTCCTTAAGGCCCTCTTCAAAAACAACAAACATCCATGAACCCAGCGCATTATTTACACAGCTTATCCTTGGAGCTTGGTGCTGCAGTCCTTACTCACGCAAAGCTTCCATTGATGCCACTGGGAAATCAGCCTGAGCAAGGACTTTATGGTGGGCCCTTTAGACTGGCATTCTCAAAGGAGCTAAGGAAGTTAAGTGCCCAAATCCTACTGAATTTCAGTGGGATGGATGCCTAACTCCCTTAGGTCTCTTTGAATATCCCAACCCCAAAGTATGATTTGGTGGTCATTGCTCTGTGCAATTCAATCCCATGCATCTCACCAAATACCTTGGACCTCCTCGGCATGGCAAGTCCGTGGGTGTGTTGGGGGTAGCTGGGATGCATAATAAGCAGTAAGAATGTAGCCCATAATGTTGCAGATTATGGGCCCTGTCTAGAGCAGAGCCCTTTGGTTCTGGTACAGACTTTCATACTAATATTGTGACGGCATGTGCACTATTAAATACCCCTGGGGGAAGTTCTTGTTTCCAAGTGCTGCGTTCCTATAGGACTGACCCAGTTTTATATGTCCACCACACTCACCAAGATCTTCTCTGCCACAGTACCCTTCAGAACTCCCCCAAGAAATGCACAGACCATGTCATGGCCAAATCATTTGCCAAACTTGATTGTTTTCTAATTAATTATTAGTTGAATTAGAACAGTATAAACCAAGGTTAAATCAGTAAAAGACAGACATTTCTGGGGCATGATTCAGCTGCCATTGAAGGCAATAGGCGAGTTGTCACTGATGTCAGGAATGGGCCCCATTGCGAAGGTAGCCGTATGCCCTCACAGCACGAATCTCTGCCAGAGGTCCTAGAATGTGACTTAGCTGGGGAGACAGACTGGATAATGATTCTGAAGACAAAAAGGACTGTTGTGCATGGGGCCATCTGCCTCCTGCAAGGTGCTAAGCACCCTCTAACTCCTGCTGAAGCTGGTGTGAGTTGTGGGTGCTCAGCAAGTCTCAGGATCAGGCCCCAGTTATATCAGTGCCATATTTCGTCAATGGCCCCGAGTCTCCATTCACTTGAGCTTGACAGTGACCTCATTGAGTTCACTCCTGATTTAAAGTCATGGAGAACTGAGCCTATTGACCTTCCCCTAGCCAAGCCTCCTAAGCTCTCTTACCCTGGGGTCCTGGACGTACTCTTCCATGTCCCTGCCTCTTCAGAAATGCCTCAGGGGCCCAAACTAACTAAGTAACAGGAACCCTTGTGCTAAATCTCTCCCAGCTTGTAAATCCATTGATTTCAACTGAGTTTCTCCAAGAAATCGCAGCATTACAAAAACAGGCCAACCCTTTTCTCCCAGCTGTTCCTTTCTGTAGCTTCAGTAATGCTTTATGCTGCCTTCATTTTGAATGATATTTTTTACAGGAAGTTTTAGTTTTCTAATCTTGTATTTATTTTGTTGGAACATTTCTGAACATGCTTTTTCTATAGATGTCCATTCCCTCCCTGTAAGATACCATTACAACCTGGATTACTTCTTGGTCAGTGTGCGTGTGTGTGTGTGTGGGGGGGATTTTACATTCAAATGATGAAACGTGAGGGCTCCATTGACAGAGCTGTGATGATTCAAACGCCCCAGATCCTCAATCTTGAAGGGGGAGGAGCGGGGGGAAAACCAGCTTCCCAGGGGTCAGCAGTCTAACTGCTCATGAGGTTCAGGCACAGCTGAAAGCAGGAGAGAGGCTGTTCTCCAACTTATACCAGTTCTGTGCTGGTTTGGCCCCACTGACTTCAGTGGAGTAATTCCTGATTTGCACCAGAGTAGGTGAGCTCAAAATATGATGCAAAAATTCACCTCTACCATTCCAGAGTGGCTCAACAAGGGGACATGTAGCCCTGCTGTGTGTCACATAGAGGGAGTGCTCCTCTGGCCCCATGCAATTCTGCTGCACGGAGACGTGCCATTCCTGACAGTGGCAGATCTCCCAAGACTGGATGTGCATTTGCCCTGGGGAATATAATGCCCCCTTGTGTTGGCTGCACAACCATAGCACTCTGTTCAAAGCCAGTCAAATGGGAGGGGAGAGGGGTGTGTACTGACCTGGGAGAGGCAGGGCTCTTTCCATGAGTCATGCTTTCTAAAGTTAGACAGTTGGGGGCTACTGGCACATGACTCTGAGTAAAGCTCTGAATTGGCGCTAAAATGAACTCCTTGTCAGAGTTCATCCCCACGCAATGACATGGACTAATGCCACCTTGACAAGTGACCTCTCTTATCCCTTTGGTGCAATTTCATTAATTGTCTTTTGCAAGAAGTGCTCTCTCCAGCCTCTGTGAGTGGAGATTTGCTTCTGCAGCACCTGGAGATGTGGTTTCTAGTGATTTCACAAGTGTACAGCCTCCATTAATCCTAATATCAGTAACTGCTATTAACTTTGTAAATAAACTTTGACCGAAATCCTTAATTTTGGGACATTGGCCAAGCTGTAAGTTATACTCTTAAATAAATGTGCTCATTCCAAACATGATGGTGTTTGACTTCCTGAATGCTATGATGCATTCCTGAATGTACGTACGTACGTGCATGCGAGTGAGATGGGCATGGATTCTTTGGGTGTTCCCAGTATGGAAGAGAGGGCTGCAGTAGGAAAAAGATGGAGAAACCCTGCCTGTGTCAAAAGCTTCAGCATGTGAAGAGTATCAGCTGGCTTCCCCTTGGCTGGCTGGGTCAAGGAGGTTCAGTACTGGGGAGCCTTGGCTGTTCAGACTCAGGGGCACCACTGATTGTCCAGAGGGCTTGATGCCCCTTTTGGATGACTGGGGGTGTGATGTATCCGTTTAAGTTTCTTGCAGGCTCTGGTCCTTTGGGGATGGGAAGCAATCTATTAACTGAAGTATTGTTACCCAGGATGCCACATGCACAGTTAGCTAATTAATGGTGTTGCAATCATGTACAGCCTTACAGATCATGATCTCCTGTCCTGGCATTTTAGACTTCAAGCTGTACATCCACAAGGGCATGTTGGGGCCACTGGCTTGTTTGTGCATTTACATCCACGGGACATTGGAGAAACTAAACATACTCACCTAACCTAGATGGGTCTATTCTCATTTCTTTGCTCTCAGTCTTAAGGGGAGTGAAACCACAGTTGCCAATATCCCATAGACAGAAGTACTGAAATGCAGGAGGTTCGCAGCCTCTTCCGTCCCAAAACCTTCTCACCAGCATTCCTCTTCACTGCCATACCCTGGGTCTGTTGCACTGGTTCTCACTGTACGTCAAAAGTGTTTCCTGCAGTGCTTTGCAGGGGGCACCATGGAATCGGAGCTACTATTTACAGGATGCTCCTAGTGTCTGAGGACCCTCTTGTTGTAAATGGTTAAGTGAATCCACTCCAGAACAAGACCGGAAATGTGGAATGGGAATCAGCACAGTCTCCCTCAAGGCCATCCCAACTCCCATGCTGAGGCGTGCTGAACTTGGAGAGTGATTCACATTAACCAGACCTTAGTGCCAGTCATCCCAGTGCCCTCAGTTAATGAATGGAACCGTCCTGCCGCCCATCGTTGCTATAGGAAAAAAAGGCACCATCCAGACAACAAGCACATAGCTTGACATCCTGGTGCAGGTGTACAGATATGTTGTACAATGTGAATTTAATGGGTTTATACCATAAAAGATGTTGGCCTGTTCTATTATAGGGGCACCCGCCCACTCCACAATTGTGGGCAAACTACCACATTGTCATATCCCGATGTGATTCTGATGTGCTGAGTCGGCCAACACATTTTGACTACAGTTGGTAAGATAATGCTCAGAAATGGTGTTTCTTCTAAGGAAAATATCCAGATGTTCTTCTTAAAGTGACTGTCCAAGTGGATCCCACTCCTGGAGCATGTCCGCCCCATACAGGTGAGATCAGATTCTTTTTGGCCAGCAATGTCTTGTGGAGCTATACCAGTGTCTTGGGTGCCCTGACCCTCCCTCCCTCCCCCCCGCCCCAGGGCATAAAGGGAGGAGTGGGCCCAACTGTCCAATCCCGCTCTCCATTCCCTCTGCTCCAGTCTCTACTATGGCTGGGTAAGAGGGAACTGGAGCGTCATTGACCCGTGCAGCCTCTTCAAGCCTCGGACACGCCACGTCCAAACTGCATGAACAGTTCTGGCTCCAGCACATGGTGCGCATGTGGACCCACGTTTGGAATCCAGATAGGGACCACATATCTCGACGAACCTCCAGTTACAGCAAGTAATCTTCTCTTGCACACATACAAGATGGAAAATGACTGTCTAGGAAGGAGTACTATGGAAAGGGATCTAGGGGTCACAGTGGTTCACAAGCTAAATATGACTCAACAATGTTACACTGTTGCAAAAAAAGCAAACATTCTGGAATGTATTAGCAGGAGTGGTGTTAGCAAGACACGAGAAGGAATTCTTCTGCTCTACTCTGCACTGAACTGGAGTATTGTGTCCAGTTCTGGGTGCCACATTTCAGGAAAGATGTGGGCAAATTGGAGAAAGTTCAGAGAAGAGCAACAAAAATGATTAAAGGTCTAGAAAACATGACCTATGAGGGAAGATTGAAAAATCTGGGTTTGTTTAGTCTGGAGAAGAGAAGACTGAGGGGGGACATAACAGTTTTCAAGGACATAAAAGGCTGTTACAAGGAGGAGGGAGAAAAATTGTTGTTAACCTCTGAGGATAGGACAAGAAGCAATGGGCTTAAATTGCAGCAGGCGCAGTTTAGGTTGGACACGAGGAAAAACTTCCTGTCAGGGTGGTTAAGCACTGGAATAAATTGCCAAGGGAGGTTGTGGAATCTCCGTCACTGGAGATTTTTAAGAGCAGGTTGGACAAACACCTGCCAGGCATGGTCTAGATAATACTTAGTCCTGCCTTGTGTGCAGGGGCTGGATTAGATGACCTCTCGAGCCCAACACTTCTGGACAAGCAGCCACGCCCATTGGCATAAACATGGACCTAGCAACACTGCCCTTTGTGTTTGTCACACCCAGACAAGGCTACTGCTCACTCCTCTGGAAGCTGAGCTCAGGGGCTACCCGGAAACCACAGCAGGGAAATATACAGAAACCCACAAGCCCAGCAGACCCAGCTGGTGCAGGTACATCATGTCAGCCCTGCACACCCTGCATTAATGGCCTGTTGAATACTGGGCATGATCTGAGGCCCTCACCCTCATGCTAAGAGAAACAAATGAGCGCAGAACCAGCTCTCTGCTCCCTTACTCCTGGACATGGCAGCTCAGAGAGCCCAGGCTTCTCCTAGTGGTGGGCAAACAAGGAAGTGAAAGGCCCCTGAAACAGAGTGAATTTCTGCAGTGGATCAAGCTGAGCCTAGATCTCTCCTTCTGCACACCACACCTGCTTATGCCAGCTTCCCCCTCAGCACCATGTAGGAATAGCACCCAGCACAGTGGTCATGACCTCTCGAGCCCACCTCAGAGGAGAAGAGAGCCAAGGCGCTGCCTCCTAAAGGCGACCTTGCTGTCTCTTGAATGATCTTGGCTCCCACAGCAATTTCGCGTGCCCTACAAATGCCTGTCAGTGAAATTGCTATGTCCCTTGGCCCTGCCTCCCAAATCGGGTCATTTGTATGGAGCCCCTTACGCAGCTCCCCCTAGAGTGGCTTCAAAGGTTCCCTGAGCCGGGATTGCATTGATACCTGAGACTCAGCTGAGACCAGTGGAGCAGCCAATGCCGCCATGTGTCAGAGGCGTATTTCTGGCTGCCCGGGGCTCAGCCTCTGCCCCAGAGGAGCAGCAGTTGTAACAGGCAGTGACATTTCATGGCTTTGCTGGCTGCGGCATGTAAAGTCACATCTGCCTTCCTGACGCTCCCGGCGGGGTGGAAACCAGCACTGAGTAAATGTCACCAGCAGCTCTGAAGTGCAGCAGTGACCTCCGCCTCCTGGCCCAGGCGCATGGGCAGCTGTGACTTCGAGCCAACAGATTAAGGCTCTGATGGCGCAGCTATGAGGCAGCCTCCTGGACACCGCAGCCACCCCCCGTCTCCTTCCTTAGCAAGGATCTAGGGATGGACCTGAGACACGGGCCCCAGCTGGTACAATGAGCCCCTGCTGCGAGAAACCTAGGACCTGGCTGACTGTGACTCTGAAAGTCAATGTGAGCAGTGCCTGCTCTACTCCGGGGCAAGGCCTGCTGAGGACCAAAGCTGTAGGGGGCCAGGGAAGTATCCACTGATCCTATGATTCATCTACTTTAAGGCTAGACAGGACCATTCTGATCATCTTGCTGAGCTGATTAACACAGGGCGTAGAGTTCTTCCAGTAATTCCTGCAGGGAGTGTCCAGCTACTAGCAATGGTCAAGACAATGAGACTATGCTGGGATGCTGAATGTTTGCTGCTATAGCCTAATATTTGATTTCCCAGCTCCTTCTCTCTACGCTGCCCATCAAGTGTGGGGGAGAGGAAAGCAGGAAGCCTGATCTAGTGATTAAAGCACAGGACCGGGCCTCAGGAGAGCGGAGTCCTATTCTTAGCTCTGCCAGTGGCCACCTAGGTGACACTGGGCAAGTCACTCCCACTCTTTGAGGCAAGAGTGAAATGGGGCTAGTGCTTCCTGGAATTGCAAGGGTATTTGGAAGCTCAGTTTGTCCATGTGCTTTGAGACCCTTAGACAGAAGATGCTCTAGATGTACTACTATTAATAACGTTGGGGTAAAGTGTCCCACCCACACAACGCATTTCCTTCGCATTCTCTTTCATCTCGGTATTCCCCTCACTACATGGAGTACTAAAGCAATGCCCCACAGAAGACCACTAGGGCTGCACGGTTTGGAATGGCTCCTTCTTATATGGCCCTCATCACCATAGTACTTGAGAAGCCCCTCACCCTCCTGAGGATTTTATCCTCACCACACTCCGAGTGGCAGGGAGATACTGTCCCTTGGTAACAGATGGGGAACAGGCACAGAGGAACCAAGGGACTTGCCCAAGGTCACCCAGCAGATCAGTGGAAGGGCCAAGAATTGAACCCAGAGCTCCTGAACCCCACTCCAGAGCCCCCTCCAATCGGCCATCCTGCTTACCACAGTAATCACCTAGTACCAAAACCAGCTGGTAAAATCCAGTCTCCTGTTTCTTCAGGAAGTGCAGGAAGTGCAGGGTGCAGGAATGCCCACATCCCTTTGGTAATGGCCTCTTGCCCTCATGATTGCAAAGAAAACTTTGAAAACATGACCCAAGTGCAACTGAGGCAGCAACATCTGCAGAGAGCCTGAGATGTTCACCTCCGTGGGTGTTGATGGAGTTACCATTGTTAGCTAGTGGGCTGAATTTCACTGTGTGGAAGGGCAAGTAGGTTCCTATCATGAAGGTCTGCACAATCTATGCTAAGTGCCAGGTCATTTGGAAGCCCTGGCCTTGGGAGACACCACCAATAGTCTACCCCCAATCAAGACAATGCCCAAGAAACCCAGAAGGGCACCCAGACCCCACCATGGGGAAGTCAAGCAAGGATGCCCTCCAGCCCCATTGAGGAG